GAGCCACGTCCCCCTATGGTGCTGTGTGTTAAGGATGAGCTGTGTGTCTGGGGACCTGTGGGACATGGGATGGGGAATGGAGGGGGTTTGGGGATGCTCTAAAGGAAGAGACCCCAGGATGGTGGCACCACGGGGACGGGGGTTCTGCATGAACAGGGGATGTGATGTCCCCTCATCCCGGCTGACAGGGATGCCCTGGGGGGGCTCTTGGAGGTGTGGTGCTGGAGCCACATCCTGCCAAAGGGAGCTCAGTTTGGTCACGACGTGGCCGGGAGGGGATGGAGCCAAGCGGGGACCCGGCGCTGGGCTGTGAAGGAGGCGCTGTCGAGATAAGAGTTGGTGTTGGGAAGGAACAAAGCGATTTCCTTCCCCACGTTCACACCCAGAGCAGAGCACAGAGCAGGGGGGGGTGTCTGAGAGCCTCCCTGTGGCTCCTCCAGCCTCCTCCTTAGTCTTGGCTTGGTGTCACCCAGGAAACATCACCCATGTCCTGGCCGCTTCGGATGATGGGGATGCGGTTCCCCATCCGCGCACATGGTCCCAGTGTGGGATGGGATTGGGCAGTGGGTCCAGTGCTGCCAAGCTTTGCATGTCCTGCACCCTGTGCCATCCCTGGAGCTGTCTGTGAGGATGAGGATGGCACTCAAGCTGTGGTCCTGGTGGCTGTGTCCCATTCCACTGGGATATCCATGGGGTTGGCGTGGGTACAGTGATGGGGTGGGAAAGGAGGAATCTGTTGAGCAACGTAGTGGATGCTCAGGGCATCCCCAACCCTGACAACCAAAAGCCATCCCCAGAATCCCCACCCTGCCTATGGATAGTGCATCCCTGCCCAGGCTGGGATGTGGCATGGGGGATACTGGGAGTCATTGGGAGGCACCTGTGGGGGGGTTCTCTGCATCACCAAAGCGTTGCTGCCTCCCATTCCCGATGCTGCTGCTTCTGCATGGGATGTGCATCCGCTTCCCAGCATCTCCCTATGGGATGCAGCCGTGCTGGGGCGTTCTGGGGGGCTGGCAGCATGTGCTGGCTGTGTGCAAGCAAGCCAGCACCCCCTAAATCCCTGCTGAGCCGCAAAGCTCCTCAGCCCTGGTTTGGGTTAAGGAGAATTAAAACGCTTTCTCCTGGGGTTGGTAATCCTGGAGGATGGGGCTGGCTTCTCCCAGTGCCATCACCTCCATGCTGTCCCCCTTCTCCTGCTACCACATCCCCATGGCCAGGCCCTGCTGCTGGATTATGCCCTGGGGTGCATGGGTTGGGTGCAGGCAGCCCCTGCTCTTGGCTCCCTTTGGGGTGATGCCTCCCCAGATGCTGCCTGGGACCAAGGGGCACTGGGGGGGTCCTAAAGTGGGAGCAGGCAATGGCTTTGCCGTCCAAGGGCTGGGAATGACTTCTTGTCTCAACACGGCTTTCTCCTCCCCAAAAATCCTATTAAAACCTCATTTTTCTGACCCTAATCCCAGCTCACCGTTCTGGAGGGATTAATGTTTGCATCCCCTCCCTTCCCTTGCATGCTGTGGGGCTCCATGCTGGGATAAAACCTCCTTCCTGCATGGAAAGCGGTGCTGGAGGAGGGATGCTGGGGCCGATCCCAGCACGCAGTGGTGGTGGCAGGACCGGCAGCTGCCTGTCCCTCTGTCCTCTGTTCCTGCCCCAGGCATGACGTGATCCTCGCTGCATGCCAAGGGTTGCGATAGCCCCACAGCTGCCGCTGGTGGCACTGGGATGCTGTGGGGTGTCCCCCCTAAATGCGACCACCACCTCCATGACCTGGGCAGGGTGGGAGAGCCCTGGGAGCATGGGGCAGGGAGGTGGGGAATAGGGAGACCCCCTTGGGAAAGGCTGCCTGGGTGCTGTTTCCCATCAGGGAGGCGATGCCGGCACCGGTACCCATGGGTGCGCGTTGAGCGTGTGCCGGTACCGGGGCATGCCGGGAACGCCGCTGCCTTTCCCCCTTGCTCCTGTTTGGCTGCGTATTTAGGACACTCCTGTGCAAAACACAAGGGGTTTGGAAGGCGTCCAGGAGCGCTCGCATTCCACGGGGTGGAATCTGCCCCCGCCAACGCTGCTTGACCTTTCCTGCTTTGGGCTGCGGGAACAAGCCTGGGGCCCATCCTCCTCGAGATCCCCCCCCCCCTCCCTCCACTATGGGGGTACAGGGACCCCCAGCCACCCCCCCTGCCCCCAGGGCCTCAGTGATGCTGGGGAAGATGGGATGGAGGTGGCAGGATCGCATCCGCTGTTCCCAGGGTGTTCCCGGATGGAGCCATCCCGCTGTGGCAAGATGCTTTTTGCCCCCCCTTAACTGAAAGCAACCCCCGGGCTCTGCTTGCACCCATAGCTCTGTTATCCTTGTCTCAGGCCCCTCTTCCTGCTGGGATGTGCTGGAGTGGCTCCCATGGGAGACCCACAGCATGCACACAGGGTGAGGAAGGCAATGGCAGGGATTTGGCTCCTGCCTTTTCCCATCTCAGTTTCTCCTTGGGTTGCCAGTATGGAGGTGCTGGGATGGTGTCGTGGTGTCACCAAGCAATCAATTCAGCCCTCAGTGAGGCTTGGAGCAAGCATTGGGACTGTTTGGGGCCACAGCCTTGGCACTTTGGCCAGGATAGATGTGCTGAATGCCATTGGGAAGTGCAGGGAGTGCAGGATGCCCCATCCCTGGCAGTGCTCAAGGCCAGGTTGGACACAGGGGCTTGGAGCAAGCTGCTCTAATGGAAGGGGTCCCTGCCTGTGGCAGGGGTTGGAGCTGGATGAGCTTCAAGGTCCCTTCAACCCAAAGCATTCTGTGATCCTGTGGATGCCGAGGCACTGCCACCATGCAGGGGTCCCCCTCGCTGCTGGCTGTGGGCACTGGGTGCATGGCACCGTGCTGGTCCCGCTGGTGGAGCCGAGGGGCCATGGGGAGCAGGATGCTGGCCCCAGGGCTGCAATCCCAGCAATGCCCGGCATGTCCCGGCGCGGCCGCATGTGCCTCTCCTCGGGCTCCAGCACGGCAGGAATGCGGTGCGGGACCCCCTCGAGCGGGGACAGGGGCAGGGACAAGGAGGGGGAGGCATCGCCCTGCTCTGGTGTCCGGGCTCACCATGGGGCTGCCGTTTTCCTTCCTCCTCCCATGGTCTGGCTCAGCTCAGGGTTGAACCGTAGGGGTTGATGTCTCCATGCATGGGAAGCAACAGGGACCTGCAGCCCTGGGTATCCCCCAAAATGGGAGATGGAGGGGAACTCATGGTTTGGGAAGTGATGGCTTTGGAGCCATCGCCTTTTGACAAAGGCACTGAGCAGGAGGCTTGAGGGGCTTTGTGGGTCCCTGTGGTGCTGCAGCATCAGAGCCTGGGGCTGTGCATGTGTCCCTGCTGTGTGGGATGGAGGGGACCAGGGGTGACTCGAAGCCCCCTTGTAGAACCCACTGGTGCTACCCCCGCTGTCCCCCTCCCTGTCCCCAGCATCGCCCGGTGCCCTGTGTGAGTGAGCAGAGGAAGGAAGGAAGGGAGGAAGGGAGGAAGGGGCCGGGAGGAGGGCGAGGAGGAAGTGGGGAGGGTGGATGCGGCCCCGGGGTGATGGAGGAGGAAGGGGCAGATGGGAAAACAGAAAAGAGTAACCTGGAAGAAAGAAAGAAAGGAAAAAGGGAAAGTCCTGGCAAAGGGACACTGCAGGCATGGGGGGGACGGTGGGCTGGAGCCCCAGCTGGGGTGTGTGGCTGGCTGTCCTCCATGCATCCATCCATGCATCTATCCATCCCACCCAGCTTCCATCCCACCCTCTGTCTATCCCACCCTCCATTCATCCCTCTCTGCATCCCTCTCTCCATCCCTCCCTTCATCCCTCCATCCATCCCTCCATCCATTCCTCCATCCATCCCCCCATCCATTCCTCCATCCATCCATCCTTTCATCCTTTCATCCATCCATCCCTCCATCCATCCCTTTGTCCATCCATCCATCCATCCATCCATCCATCCATCCATCCATCCATCCTTTCATCCATCCTTTCGTCCATTCCTCCATACATCCTTCCATCCATTCCTCCATCCCTCCATCCATTCCTCCATCCCTCCATCCCTCCATCCATCCTTTCATCCATCCATCCATCCATCTAGCCAGCCAGCCAGCCATCCTTTCATCCATCCTTTCGTCCATTCCTCCATCCATCCACCCAACCCTCCCTCCCTCCCTCCCTCCCTCATTCTCTCCCTCCCTCCCTCCATCCCTCCATTCCTCCATCCATTCTTCTATCCTTCCATCCATCCATCCTTTCAACCATCCTTTCATCCATTCCTCCATCCATCCATCCATCCCTCCCTCCCTTCTTCTATCCTTCCTCCCTCCCTTCTTCTATCCTTCCTCCCTCCCTTCTTCTATCCTTCCTCCCTCCCTTCTTCTATCCTTCCTTCCTTCTTTCTTTCCTTCCTTCCCTCCTTCCTTCCTTCCTTCCCTCCTTCCTTCCCTCCTTCCTTCCCTCCTTCCTTCCTTCCTTCCTTCCCTCCTTCCTTCCTTCCTTCCCTCCTTCCTTCCTTCCTTCCTTCCTTCCTTCCTTCCTTCCTTCCTTCCTTCCTTCCTTCCTTCCTTCCTTCCTTCCTTCCTTCCTTCCTTCCTTCCTTCCTTCCTTCCTTCCTTCCTTCCCTCCCTCCCTCCCTCCCTCCCTCCATCCCTCCATCCATCCATTCCTCCATCCATTCTTCTATCCTTCCCTCCATCCCTCCCTCCACCCACCCATCTCACCCTGCGTCCACCCCACCCTCCCTCCCTCCCACCCTCCCCCGTCCCTCCCCCCGTCCATCCCCCCCTCCCATCCCACCCTCCCCGTCCCACCTCAGGGCTGCAGCCACGGAAGGCGCCGATGCCTGAGCCCGTTCCCTCTCCGGCTGCCGCCTGAGCCCCCCTGCCCGCATGGTGGAGGAGAGCGCGGGCAGCGGGGCTCGGGGGTCCCGGCGGGTGCTGCGGGGCTCCCCCCTGCGGGCCCCGGCCCCCCCCAGCCCGGTGCTGGTGCTGAGCAAGAGGCTGTGGAGCGTGGAGCGAGCGGGCCGGGGCTGGCGGCTGGAGCTGCCGGTCGGGGTGGACTGCAGCGACCCCGAGCCCCGCTGCCTGTGGCTGAGCAGCCTGCGCCGGTTCGCTGCGGGCAGCCCGCACCGCGGCCCCGCCGGGCCCCGCACCCATGGGTGCAAGCGGGTGAGAACCGCGCTTCGCGATGGGTTCGGACGGGAGGGAAGGGGCTGGAGGGGGGGGGCTGTGCTGCGGCCCCTCTGTACCGGAGGCTGGGGTTGGGGGTCCCGGTTTGATTCCCCGGTGCAGGGCTGGAAGCTGCCGGCAAGGGCAGGGCTGTGCCTGGGTGTTTGGTACCCACTCGCCGTGTCCGGGAGGGGGGATGGATCCTGCCCCTTAGGATGCAGAGATAACCCTCCTTTGTTCTGCCTGTCCATGGGGCAGCGGGATGGCATGGGGACATGGGGTGCAGGTGACACCGGTGCCGTGAGGGGGGGGAAAGGGACCTCGCAGGCGTTAGGGCTGTCTGGCCTGAATTGCAATTAAAATCCAGCCAAAAAGGCATTAAGGAACCGGCCTCTGTGGGGATGGGGGACGGGGTGCTGGGGACAAATGGCTGAGGTGACAAATCAAGTGTCAGCCCGATGCTGGGGGAGCCCGAGCATCTCCCGCTGAGGGGATGTCCAAGTTAGGGGCACAACCAAGCCCACACTGGGGGCTTTGCAGTTCAGAAAGCTCCAAGATGGGGTGGGAGAAGAGGGAAACTGAGGCACGGTGGCCTGGGATGGTTTGCAGGGTCTCTGGGTCTCTGCAGTGGATGATTCCCTCCGTCAGATGGGGGGTACAAGGGATGTGGAGTGGGGAAACCACCACGTTGAGGCTGTCACAATCCCAAAGGATGCTGAGGGCAAACCCCCATCCTTGCCAGCGGGATCAGAGCACCGGGTCCCTATGGGATGGGAACGTTCCCGAGTGATTCCTCCTCCTCCATGACTTACAGAAGCTCGGGTTAGAGCCATAGCCATGGCTATGGTGTGGCTGTGAGCACAGGCACACATCCCCATCCCTGCGGGTCGGTGCTGTGGTGCTGTCTGCACTGATCCTGCCCTCTCCAAGGCTTGTCTGTGCCGGTTAAAATCAGCCGGGCACATTCAGCTGTCAGCTTAAAAATAATCCAGCAGCCACGGACACAATGGAGGGCGCAGATGGGGACAGGCGCCGGGATGGCCCCGGGGCAAAGGGATGGGGGTCCCCCGGGAGTGTGGGGCGCCCGTTGCCATCTGGTTTTGGGTCACCAATTGGGGCTTTGGGGGCTCATGGGGAGCTTTACCCCCTGTATGATGGTGATGTGTGGGGGGGAGTTCTGGCTCTGCAGTGCTGGTGTTTGGAGCATTGCTGCTCTCTGCTGTGTTTTGGGGTATCTGTGGTGTCAGAGGATCCCAGCCTGGTTTGGGTTGGAAGGGACCTTAAAGCTCACCCAGCTCCAACCCCTGCCACGGGCAGGGACCCCTTCCCCTGGAGCAGCTTGCTCCAAGCCCCTGTGTCTTGTCTGTGAGCACCCAAAACCATCATGGTTGGGTCTGGCAGTGATGGAGAGGGTGCCGTGCCAGGGTGATGCCTCACAGGGTGCAGTGCCCTCACCATGGAGACCTTGATCCCCATGGGGACGGGACCCCCACCAGCGGGGCCATGCAGGACGTGCTGGCTCTGGGGGCTCAGCCTGGCCCTAGTGAGTTGCTGTCACATTTCCCCCCCCCGGCAGCGAAAAGGCCCACTCAGCAGAGCACAGACAAAGGCTGTTTTGTGCCACTGTCCCTTTGTGTGTCCCTTTCCCCTCCCCGTTCCCCTTCCATCGCTTGAACCCAGACAGCGCCTGAATGTTAACACCCTCATCCCAGGATGGGCTGGCTCCCTGCTGCTGCGGTGGGGGAAGAGATCCCGCTCTGAGAACCCGTCCTGCCTGGCTCTCACTGCCCTGCCTGGCCCTGCAGCTCCCAGGTTACTGGGTTCTCCCGTTTCAATAGGGATTGGTGCTGCTGGGGCACTGGGAAGGGGCCCTCTGCCCCTTTTGGCCGTGGGGCTGCTCCTGCCATAGGAGGGCTGGCGGATGTGCAGCCAGATGTGCATCCAGATGTGCAGCCGCATCCCTCACCAGGACACTGCTACAACCCCCCCCAGGCTCAGCCAAGGGGTCTGTTTTCCTGCTGTCTCCAAGCTCTGTTCCCAGTGCCAAGCAGGATGCCCGTGGCTTTGCCGTGGCCGTGTTCCCCATCCCAGCACCGGGATGGAGCCATGGCCCTCCTGACCCCCTTTGCTGCTCTCCTTTGCCAGCACCCATCCCAGTGCCAGGTCCCTGCCCTGTCTCGGGAAGCATCACTCATCCCACGGCTGTTTCCGGCTTGCCTGAGGTTATAACCACGGCGTCATCGGAAAGGGAACCTTTTGTCCCCCATCCGCTCCCATCCCTAATCCTGCTGTGCTGCCTCCTGGGTCCCATCCACACCCCCAGGCATGGCTCATTCCCCCCCCTCCATCTTTTAATTCCCTTTCTATGCATCTTCTCCCAAAAATTCCCATCCAAGGAGTTTTGGGGATGGTCTTTGGCTGGAATTCACTGGGATTAGGGAAAAGGGTTCCTGAGAGCTCTAAACAGATCCCAGCCCCAACCACAGGGCTTTGGATGGGCAGGCATAGGGGGGGACTGCCTGTACCCCCCTCTTCCAGAAGTGACATCTTCCTCTTTGTGTCCCCCCTGTCCCCCAACAGCCAACACCAGGCCGGAGAGATGGGGCATCCCCAAACGCCAACGTGCCCCCCGAGGGCTCCTTCCCCTGGGTGGGCCCCAAGACCGTGCTGCTGCGGAAGAGCTCACAAGGGGGGTTCGGCTTCACCCTGCGCCACTTCATCGTCTACCCCCCGGAGTCGGCGGTGCACTGCAGCAGCAAGGTAGGGCTGGGATCCCCCCATCACCATAGGGACTGGTGGGATGCGGGATGGTGGTGTAAGGGTGGGAATGGGGTTGTCCATCACCTGTTTGTTTGGGGTACCCTGGGATGAAGGAGCCCTCGGGGATGTGCTCTGAGCAAGTTGGCAGCGCCTCTGGAGATGTCCCATAGCCTTTGGCAGGGATATGGCTGGCTGTGGGAGCAGAGGATCCCTCAGCTCCAGATGTGGCTCCAGCATCCTTGGGAATGGCAGGGAAAAAGGCACTTCAGAGCCCCCGAGGCCAGAGGGAGGCTTGGCATCCTTGGGATGCTGCTCGAGCTGCACACCAGCACTGCAATTCCCATTGCTGGTTCCCAGTTTTCCTGGCTGGAAGCTTTGGGCTGGATCTGCAGCTTGGACCCTTCCTGGGTGCTGCCTTTTGGAGGGACCAACCCTGGGTTGGCCATCACCTCCTGCACCCTCCGAGCCATCAAGAAGCCCTCATCCAGACAACACCTTTCCATTGGGATAGAGGGACCATGGCAAAGCACCCAGCAGCTTCCAGCATGGACCGTGGTGCCCTCTGCATCTCAAGGCAATGGTCCAGCTTTTCAGCCATGCCAGCTCCAAGCTCCTGGGGTCTAAAATCCTCCTCTCACCCCATATTGTGCAGTGGCTGCTTCATGCAGATGAAGGGAAAAGGGTCTGGGAGCTGCATCATCCATCTCAGCCCTTTCCCTGCTCCAGACCTGGATGCTCCCATCATCCCGGAGCTCCACAGCCCCAATGGGTTGGCATTGGCTGCCTTCTCCCCACAGGGAAGCGCAGTGGGAAGTGAATCACAGGGTGGGGAGAAGCAATTCCCTGGAATCCCCACTCAGCATCCTCAGTCACGGTGCTTTTCCAAGGCTCCTGATCCTGCTTCCCTAAATCCCTGCTCACACCGGCAACACGGACCTGAGCAGAAAAGCTTTTCCCATGGGGATGGGACTGAACCGACCCCTTCACTCCCTAAAGCATCCTCCAGGACTCGGTGCCTGCATTGGGCACCAGGGCAGGAGGACACGGGGCCGCGTGGGAAGGAGCTGGATCAGCGCCGGGAGGTGGAGATGCTCTTGGAAAGACACTGGGAACACTGGGAATAGCTGCAGGCAGCCGGAGCCGGCAGGGCTGGGTGCGGTGGGGCTGGCTCAGCACCCATGGGTGCCGGCGGGCAGCCAGGTCCGGGGGCTGAGTTTCGGTGGGGTTGACTCAGCCGTGCTCATCCCCATCGTGCCTCAGCCCCAGCCATGGCAACGGCGCTGCTGGGCTGCCCCCAGGGCCAGGAAGGGCACTGGGTACCGCAGGGTGAGGAGGGGCAGGGACTGGGTGAGGCCGTGCCCTCAGGGCCTCCCAGTGTCCCCATCGCGGCACAGGCAATGGTGCGTTCTGAGGCTGCAGGATGGGGCTTCTTCCCACCATGGGAAGATGCTTCCAGTGCCCTCACTGGGATGGGGACTGGTCCCATCCCAGTACCCCAGAGAGACCTCATCCTGGGGGCACTGGGGCTATGTCCCCTCTGGAGACAGCACTTGTGGAGTGAGAAATCCCCTTCCTGGTGCTTGGGTCCCTTGGGATGCTGCTGGCTCCATGGCAGGGCTGGGTGCTCAGCACAGTGGATGCAGCCCCATGTGGGTGCCAGCACCCTGTGCTCTGCCCCAGCTTGGCTCTGCATGGGGATCCCAATGGGAGGATGCGGGACAGGAGCCCACCAATGCAGTTCCCATGCCAAGGGACAAATCCACTTGGCTCCCAGGGCTTTCCCTGCCTGTGGCTGGGAATGGGGTGCTGGGACCCCCCTGCAATGCCCACTGCAGCTTGGGGATGCCTCTTCAAACCCATCCCCTTCCCAGGGGGGTCCCTGTCACTGCCTAGGTGCTGTGGTCGCATCCATCCCTCCCCTGGGACCCCACTGTGAGCATTCAGGCTCTCCCCTACTTGGTAGCCCAGGAGAAGGGTGCGATGCCACCATAGGGCTCCACAACCAGCCCCTTCCCCATCAGCTGGGTACCAGGGGGCTGCAGTGGGTCTCGCATGGGGCTTCATGGTGCTGGCACCCATTGGGTCCCCTCTTGGTGCCCTCTGCTGTGTCCTGGCCACCAAATGAATGTGTTTCTCTTGTTTTGGCAGGAGGAGGAGAACGGGAACCGAGCAGGTGAGCACTGGGGGGACCCCGCACATGGGGGCATGGGGAGGGGGTCACAGTTAACTGTCCCCACTGGCTGGCACTGCAGCCCTAAACACTATCTGGTGGTGAAGCTTTGTGGTGTTTTGGTGTCCCCAAAGCCCTTGGGATGTTCACTGGACCTTGTACCCAAGGAGGGGTCTGTCCCGAAGGCAGAGGGGCTGTGGGATGGCCCCTTCAGGTGGGCAGCTTGGCCAAGCACAGGGTGTTTGGGGATGGGGACACGGCCCTGCTCTCCTCCCCGAGGCTGGTGCTGACGTGAGTGAACGTGAAGGCGTCAGAACACATCGGTGCTGCTGGGGTGACACAGCCCAGGGAGCCAGAGCAGGCAGCAGGGGCTGGACCCAGCACCCATCAGGGCTGGGAGGACACCGGCCTCACTCCGCATGGTCCCCAGGGGGTTCAGCATCCCTTGTGGACACCGTCCCTTTGCCATCCATCCTCTGCCCTCCATTTCTGGCAGCATCCAATGGCTTTTACCCTTGCAGAGGAGTGTGGCTGCAGCCACGCTGGGGAGAATCAGACTCAACCAGGTTGGAGCAGACCTTCAAGCTGAGCTGTGGCTGGAGGTGATGGGGCTGTCCCAGGCTTTGCCTAGCTGTGCCCCACAGCTCCCTGTGGCAGGCAAGGGGGGTACCACAAGGGACCAAGGATGCTCTTTGCCATGGGATGGGTTGGTGATTCCCTGGTGCTGTCCCCTGGGAGCAGGTCCCCCCCGGAGCCGCTTGGAGCCCATGGATACCATCTTTGTGAAGAGCGTGCGGGAGGACGGGCCGGCGCACCAGGCTGGGCTGCGCACAGGTGAGTTGTGATGCAAAGGATGCTTATGGTGCACAGGATGCTTATGGTGCATAGGATGCTTATGGTGCACAGGATGCTCTGCCTGCTCTGGCAGGGACTTCATTGCTTATTTTGCTTGCTTTCTTGCATTCCTTCCTTTTTCTTCCCCTTCACTCCCTGCCTCTGCTCTCTTGTCCCTGGCCTGGGATGCTCCGAGCAGCATTGGAGTCCCCATGGGTTAGGCTGGCTTTGGGGTTCCCATGGCTCCTCTTGCCAAATGGGACCAGGCAAACCCTGCTGTGAGTGCCAGTGGGGACAGCCCCGTGCCAGCAGCTCCCCATGTGCCTGTGGTGACACTGTCTCCTCCACAGGGGACCGGCTGGTCAAGGTGAATGGGGAGAGCATCATTGGGAAAACCTACTCACAAGTCATCGCCCTGATCCAGAACAGGTGAGTGCCCTCCCAAGGGCAGGAAAGGGACACGTTGCAGCAGACACCGGTCAGGGGTTCCGTGATAACATCCCCTTTCCCTGCAGTGATGATGTGCTGGAGCTCTCCATCATGCCCAAGGATGAGGACATCCTCCAACTGGTGAGTTTACCAGGCGGGTACCACGGACTGGGCTGATTCCAGGGCTTAGGTTCCCTCTACATCCCTGCCCCCCCAAACCTAACGGGCTGGTTGACCCCTGATGGTACCCACCCCCCCTGGCTTTGCTATTGGGTGTCACCCAGTGTGAGAGCCCCATTCCCATTGGACTGGGGTGGGGGAAGCCTGTGCCTGCCCCATGCTCTGAGGATGCCCTGGGCACGGAGTCAGCGGTGGCTGTGAAAAGTGAGACGGGAGAACCGGGCCCTGCAGCCGTGCTGGGGTATTTTGGGAAGGAGCAGAGGGAAGGGCGGAAGGGCTGGGGGTGGTGGGAGCATTGCTCAGAGCTGGGGGCCCCCATGGGAAAGCAGGACCGGGAAGTGGGGGGGGGACTGCAGCCAGCGCTGCCCAGCTGTCCCCAATGGGGGGTTTGCTCATTGGGAGGGAACTGGGAATGGGGGGGCTGTGTCCCTGACCCCCCTATCCCTCCGCAGGCGTATTCCCAGGATGCCTACCTGAAGGGCAATGAGCCATACTCCGGCGGGGCGCAGAGCATCCCGGAGCCCCCTCCTATCTGCTACCCACGCAAGACATACCCCTTCCAGGCCCGGGGTGCCGAGCCCCCCGTGGGACACCCACCGGACCCCCGTCCCCACCGCGCCGCAGCCGCATCCCTGCTCAGCAGCCCCGCGCATCGCCCCGACGAGCCCCAACCCGGGGCGCTCCCCCCGCGCCCCACCGCACCCCACGGCCACCACCCCTCCTCCTTGTCCCGCACCGGCTGCTCCAGCGCATCCGACCGCTACGGGATCCCCTCCGCCACCCCTTCGAGCTTCCCCAAGCACCTCCCGGAGCACCGGACTCACTGCGGCTTCAAGGAGGGCACCGGGGGGCTGTCGGGGGCCGGTCGGTCCCGTCGGGATGCAACGAGCAGCAACCAGCGGGGGGTGCCGGGGCGCCAGGAATGCCATCAGGCTCTGTCGCGCTGGTTTAGCAGCCAGGAGCCGCGGCGCAGCGCCTCGGAGGAGCGCCGGCACGCCATGCCCCCCCGCTCCCGCAGCGTGTCCCAGGACCGGTTGGGGGGCTCGGCCAGGGCCCCCCGGGGATGGCCTCACAGCGCCTCGCATGACACCCTGCTGCAGCCCAGCCGGGAGAGCTGGGCCCCCCGCGCCCGCTCTGACCATGCCCTGGGGAGATACGGGCGCTCCATGGAGGCTCTGGAGCCCAGCGCGCTGCTCGCCCATCCCCTTGAGCGGGAGAGGCTCTGCCGGGTCGCCCCCACGGTGGGGCAGCACATCCCCCGTGCTTCCATCACGCCTTCATCCTCCTCTTCCTCATCGTCTCGGGAGCCGGCGCCGGTGCAGAAGCACCCATCGCAGCCCAACCTGCAGAGCGCCGATGATGCGGGCTACATCGGCTACCGCAGCTACAGCCCGTCCTTCCAGCGCCGCACGGGGCTGCTGCACGCCCTCTCCTTCCGTGACCCGGCCTTCGGTGGGCTGCCCACCTTCAGCATCCCGCAGCGCTCCGCCGCCCCGCTCCTGGAGAGCGTGGTCCCCACTGCGCCGCCTCCCGCCGGGCCCCCCCCACCGGTCCCCGCTGCATCCAGGGACCGGGTACCGGAGCAACCGGAGGAGCGGAGGGAGGAGGTGGTGCTAAGGCAGAAGCCGCCCTCGGGCCGCAAGGTGCCGGTTCCCCTGCGCCAGATGAACTTTGTCTTCCCCGAGGGGGTGAAGGGGATGGACGTTTGTGAGCCCCCGCAGCCCGGTGGCAAAGGGGACAGGCCGGCAGCTGAGCGGCACGGCCGGAGAGTGGCTCCTTTGGCGGCCCCTGAGGACTCGCTGGCATCCATCCCCTTCATCGGTGAGTGGGGCTGGCTCCAGGAGGGGGGGGTGTAGCCAGTCCCATGCCAGGGAGGACACATCCGGGGATGGGGAGCATTGCACAGTTTGAGAGCATCCATCCATGGAGGTGTCCCCAAGCAGGGGTGCGGATGTTGGTGATGGGGTGCCAGGGTTTGGGCTCCAGCAGCCTCATCAGGGGCTGTAGCGATAGGACAAGGGGTGATGGGTTTAAACCGAAACAGGGGAAGTTGAGGTTGGATACAAGGCAGAAGCTCTTCCCTGTGAGGGTGCTGAGGCGCTGGCACAGGGTGCCCAGAGAAGCTGTGGCTGCCCCATCCCTGGCAGTGCTCAAGACACAGGGGCTTGGAGCAAGCTGCTCCAGTGGAAGGTGTTGGGGTTGGAGCTGGAGGAGCTTTAAGGTCCCTTCCAACCCAAACCAGGCTGGGATTCGATGATCCCTCCCTCTGTTGTCCAGCACCCCCTGCCCAGCCCCTGGTACCTCTTACTCTGTGTGAACTGGAGCCCTGTACGCTCCTGCTCTGAAGTGGGGGCAAAGACATGGAATGATGCACTCCCTGTCTCACTTGGGGTCTCCCTGCCCATGGGGACCCAAATGGGTCTGGGGCAGCCACCAGCTCTGCCCCATCCCTCACTGCAGCCTGTAGGGAAGGGACCCCAGGGGAGGGTTGGGACAGGGTCCGTGTGCTCTGTGCAGGGTTCTGGGCACATCCTGGCTTTGCTGGGGATGGGAAGGTGTCCCCCAGCCCAGGCAATGCAAACCCACCATATGCCACAAGTGCCGAGGGGTCCCAGCAGTGTCTTCCCCTGCCCCAAACCCTCCTTTAACATCGCCCACCCCTCTCGCAGACGAACCCACCAGCCCCAGCATCGACCTGAAGGCCAAGCACGTTCCTGCCTCCTCCGTAGTCTCCAGTGCCATGAACTCAGCACCCGCTGTTGCCACCAGCCCCTCCTCACCCACCTTCGCCTTTGCACTGAGCCGGCATTACTCCCAGGACTGCAGTAAGTGCTGGAAGGGGGGGACAAGAACCATCCCTGAGGCCACAGTGTGGGGCAGGATGGGCAGGAGCCCCACTTCACCCTGCAGCTCTGCCCACTGGGCTTTGCCCTTCTCCCCCTCGCAGGCAGCATCAAGGCTGGCCGCCGGTCATCCTACCTGCTGGCCATCACCACCGAGCGCTCCAAGTCCTGCGACGATGGCCTGAATGCCTTTCGGGATGAGGGGAAGATCCTAAGGTAGGGTTGGACCCCCAATTCCCAGACCCAACACCACATGGGTCCCATTCCCTCCCCATCATCATGCTCATGGGGGCTGCTCTCCATCCCCCCCCTGCAGGAGGATGCCCAGCCGGGTCCCCAGCCTCCGCATGCTGAGGAGCTTCTTCACCGATGGGGTGAGTGTTGTGTGATGCTGAGGTTTGGGTACCTCTATAGGAGGGTGGTGTGGGGTCGCTCTGCCTGGTGGAACATGAAGGCATCACCCTCACGGTGCCCTCTGCTCCCCCCACAGTCTCTGGACAGCCTTGGCACGTCGGAAGACGCCCGTTCCAAAAGACACTCAACCTCCGACCTCTCGGACGTCCCGTTCAGCGCCGTGAGGAAGGAGGGCTGGCTCCACTGCAAGCAGATCCTCACCAAAAAGGGGAAGGTACGCGGGTGCCTCTCCGAGCCCCACTGGCCCCGCAGCGGGACCGCTCCATCCACGAGCATCGCTGAGCTCCGTTCCCCATCCCTTGTCCCCGCAGAAGGTCGGTGGAGGCATCCGGCAGTGGAAGCGCGTCTTCGCCGTGCTGCGCACCCACTCGCTGTACCTGTGCAAGGACAGGCGGGAGGCGGTGACCTGCGCCCCGGCCCCAGGTGAGGAGGAGCCGCCGATCAGCATCCAAGCGTGCCTGGTGGACATCTCCTACAGCGAGACCAAGAGGAAGCACGTCTTCCGCCTGACGACCGCTGACTTCTGTGAATATCTCTTTCAGGCAGAGGATCGGGAAGACATGCTGGCCTGGATCAAAGTCATCAGGGAGAACAGCAAGGCTGAGGGCGAGGTGAGAGCCACATGGGGCTCCCGCCTGCCTCTGGCTCTCCCGGCACTAACCGCCTCGGCTCTCTCCGCCTCTTTGCCTTGTGCTGCTTCCCCAGGCCACGGCCAGCCCGAGGTTGTGTGGAGCTCACGGTGCTGTGCTCCCAGGGGTGCGTGAGGGCTTTAATGGTGCCGCGGCATCCAAGAAGAGCGCGGCTCCACCGGCCTTGGCCAGGGCAGGGTGCGTCGGGGTTGCTTGGAAGTGATGCTCCATGCACCGCAGGCAGGGTCGGTGCCGGATCCACCGGCGGCGTTTGGTTGTGTGGAGGGAGAGGAGCGCGTGCGGCTCTGCCGCGGTGTGTTTTGTCTTCACCGTGCTGTGTTGTGGCTCTTTCCATGGAGAGACATTGGGCACGGTGTCCGCGTGGTGCCGGTGGTGCCAGGTCGGGGTTGACCCTTTGCCGTGGTCTGTGCAATGGGTTGTTTGGTGTGAGATGGGGAGAGATGCTCCCCGAGGATGTGGGCTCCAACGCAGGCTGCGTGGGGCTGGATGTGCCGCTACGGCCTCATTCGGTTGCTGTGGTTGTGCCAGGGTTGTGGCAGGCTCTGTCCATGGAGGGTGCGTTGAGCTCGGTGCAGTCTCTGGTTCTCTGGAAGGTGCTCAGTGGTGCTGGCAGCGCAAGGATGCTGCTGCCAGGTTGGAGCTGTCTGGGGACCCGTTGGGCAGGACCGTGCGGGCAGCATCCCATAGGGATAAAGGCACGTGTCTTTGGATGCTCTGTGGTGCCGCGGGTGCGCCTGGCGCGGGCAGATGGAGACGTGCATGCCATGGAGAGGGATGTGCTCATCCCTGAGCCTCTGCGTCCGCCTTGGACCCCGTGTGTGTGTGGCAAGGAGCTCTGGAGACCTCGGCAGGGCAGCACTTCAGGGACCTGCTCCTGCCTTTGCCTGGTCCTGCCTGGCTCCGCGTGGTGCCTGGCAGAGCATGGACTTGCCTGCGGCCTCCGGTGGGATGCGCTGCTCAAGCTCTCCCTTCCCCTCTTCTCTCTGCCTCCCCAGGACCCCGGTTTTGCCAGCCAAGCACTTATCAACAAGAAGTTAAACGACTACCGGAAAGTGAGGTACGGACCCGGGGCCGGAGGGCACCGAGACCCCGAGTGCTTTATTCACCTCGATTGTAAAGTGATGGAGCAAAACCAGCGCCTGCCTTGACGGGGCGGTGCTGGAGGTGCTGCTCAGGCTGCCGGCAGGGTCTGGTTCAACCCAACTGGCGCCGAGCAGAGGGTTTAAAGCAGCTCAGTGCTCCCCAGGGGTCCTGGAGGATGCTGGGCAGAGATGCCAGGAGGTTTTATTGCGCCGGGCTGGTGTCCCCCTGGCCTTGCTCCGCCTGAGCCTCCCGCTCTCCCTGCAGCCCTGCGGGCACCAAGCCCGATTCCTCCTCACCCAAGGGCCCTCGTGGGCTGGGGATCCGAGCCGAGTTCCTGAAGCAGACGGGAACCAGCGCGCCCCGGTCCCCCAGGCAGGATGCGGCCGTCACCAAAGGTAGGTCCTAGCCCTGCCTGTGGGACATCCCCAGCAAACCTTTGCAAGGATGGAGGGCTCACCCCAGGGCTGCCATCATATTCATCCCTATAGGGCAGGAGGGATGCTCTTTCCCTTTATCCCAGCTCGTTAACAAGTGATGCTGTGGGTGTTTTTCCCCCCCAGATGATAGCAGCTCCCAAAAAGCTCCGTGGGGCATCAATATCATGAAGAAGAACAAGAAATCTGCCCCCAGGGCCTTTGGCGTGAGGCTGGAGGACTGCCAGCCTGCCCCGGACAACAAGGTACAGCCGTGGTGGCAGTGCCAGCCCTCTGGGGACCCCCCCGCAGCCCTGGCACCTCCATCACCTCCTCCCTGTCCCTGCAGAACGTCCCTCTGATCGTCGAAGCTTGCTGCAAGGTGGTGGAGGACCGAGGGCTGGAGTACATGGGCATCTATCGTGTGCCCGGCAACAACGCGGTGGTGTCCAGCCTGCAGGAGCAGCTCAACAAGGGAGCCACTGAGATCAACCTGCAGGATGAGGTGAGGGCAGGGTGGGCTCCGTGTCCCCATCCCCATCCCTGCCTCCAGGCTGCTGGGATGCTCTGAGGTTGTTGTCCTGGCTCACGGCTCTGTTAGCATGCCTAAATCCATCATCATCACTGTCCCCGTCATCATCCCTGTCCACATCATGGTCATCATCCCTGTTCCTGTCATCATCCCTATCTCCAACATGATCATCATCGCTATCCTCATCACCAGCCCCGTCCCCATCATGATCATCATCCCTGTTCCTGTCATCATCCCTATCTCCAACACGATCATCATCGCTGTCCCTATCACCATCCCTGTCCCCGTCATCATCCTTATTCCCATCATCATCCTTGACTCCAACATGATCATCCTCCCTGTCTCTGTCATTGTTCCTGTCTCCATCATGACCATCATTCCTGTCATCATTCCATCACCATCCCTGTCTTCCTCATTATCCCTATTCCCATCATCACCCCTGTCCCCATCGCTGGGACCGTCCCTGGAGTGGCAGGGCCTCCTAGCGGCCGGTGGCAGCAGTGTCATTGCCAGCCTGGGGACACATTTGTCCTCTTGCATCTCGTCACATCGCTGCAATGGCACGGGTCTTTCCCTGCCACATGCAGGGATGGGGACATTGCAGGCTGGGGTCCCCCTTGGGGACTTTGATGGCAACCGGTGTGGTCCCTCTGAGCATCCTCCTCTCTCCCCACAGCGGTGGCAGGACCTGAACGTCATCAGCAGCCTCTTGAAATCCTTCTTCCGAAAGCTGCCCGAGCCCCTCTTCACTGATGGTGAGTCACTGCACCGGGGCCATCACTGGCCACAGATAACCTTGTGCTGGTGGCCATGGTGGTCACCAGGCATCCCCAGTGCCTGTCCCATCCATGTTGGGGACAGGTCCCCAGACCCTGTGACAGAGTGAGCCAGTAAGCACCCAAGGCACTGCAGACCCCATCCTCCATGGGGCAACCCTTGTGCTTGTCCCTCCCATCCCCGTGGGACCCCACCAGCACCCTCCCCAGCACCCTCCATTGGGGGGGTCCCTGGCCTCGGGTTGGGGGTGCCCAGTCCCATCCTCCCAACTCTAACCCCCCCATGTCCCACTTTCAGACAAGTACAATGATTTTATTGAGGCCAACCGGATAGAGGACGCCAGCGAGAGGATGAGGACGCTGCGGAAGCTGGTAAGGAGATGGGGCAGGGGCTGGGGTTGGGGGGCACAGCCCTGGAGCCCCACACTTTGATGGGGAAGGTGCAGGGGGTGAGCTGAGAGGTGACCTGGTGCCTCCCCACAGATACGGGACCTGCCAGGTCACTACTATGAGACACTCAAGTTCCTGGTGGGCCACCTGAAGACCATTGCTGACCACTCGGAGAAGAACAAGGTATTGCCCATCCTGGGGCTCTCCTGGACCCCTACCTCACCTCAAGCATCCCCATCTTGGGTTGAACCATGGCTGCAGTGGGGTGGGAAGGGAGATGGGTGCCTGATGGAGCAGTGAACACCAAAGGATAGGCACTAACCCAGCTCCGGTTGCAGATGGAACCCCGAAACCTGGCACTGGTGTTCGGCCCCACACTGGTGCGGACGTCTGAGGACAACATGACCGACATGGTGACACACATGCCCGACCGGTACAAAATCGTGGAGACCCTCATCCAGCACGTGAGTGGCACTGGTGGGCGGTTGGGTGGATGGAGGGGAGGGTGACCCGCACCCCAGGAATGGGGAACGGGGCTCCCTGGCCACACCGGGCTCCTCATCAGTCCATGACCCCTCTCCCATCTCCCCCCACAGTCGGACTGGTTCTTCAGTGACAAGGAGGACAAGGGCGAGAAGGTGAGTCCCGTCCCCATGGGGGTGTCCTGGTGGGGCACAGAGCCCGGATAGGAGCGGGGGTGACCACTGTCCCCTTGCAGACCCCCGTGGATGAGAAGGAGGCTCAGTCCGTGCCCAACATCGAGTACCTGCTCCCCAACATCGGCAGGACCGCGGCGCCCGGCGATGCCGCAGGTGAGGAGCAGCATCCGCGGCACCGGTCCCCCTTGGTCCTGGCACCGGGACACCCCCTCTCCACTGCTGTGTCCCCCCCATGCTCACAGCCCCATGGGCAGCCAACCAGTCTCACCATGGCCATGGCAAACCTGGGTGTGCTGGAACAGGACATCCCAGTGCCTTCCAGTGGGGACATCCCCCCCCAGTGCCAGCAGGGCCACCTCCCTGTCCTTCCCCATCACCCTTCTCTCCGGTGGCTGCTCCCCATCCCTCTCAAAGCCCACGGGACCCTTGCTCTGGCCCATGCTGCCAACCCAGAGCCTGGGAGCCTTTGATGTTCGACTGATTTCTTACGTTCTTTCCTTGGACTTCTCTGTGCTGTCCTCTTCCTCCTCCTTCTCCTCTTCCTCCTCCTCCTCCTCCTCCTCTTCCTCCTCCAGCGGACCTCCTCGAGAGCTAGAGCGGGTACAGTTTGATTCTGGGTGCATTGCTCACGCACTAACTGCTCGGGGTGACCATGAGAGAGTGCGAGCAGGGAGGGAAGAGGGTCCTGTCCTGCCTGCCCACTGTCCCCAGGGTGCCCAGCATCAGCCCCAGGGGACCCCCAAACCCTTTAACCCCGGTTCTCTTATGGGCTGGTTCGTGTGGCGGCACTGGGAATGCTGTTGGCATCCCCCAGCAGTGATGGGTGCTGGTATCCCAAGACTAGCACACTCAAATACTGGGGTATGGGAGTCCCAACGCCCCGGGGAGGGTCTGCACCCCCTTTCTGCCTCCCCCTCTCTCATTGTCAGTGGCTGTTAACCCCATCCTGGGGCATGCGGGGTGGGAGAGGGTGTCTGTTGTCTTGTCCTTGTCCTTCACACTGCGGCAGCGGGGGCCAGGGCTGATTGTCACCCCCATGTCCCCATTTGCCCCTTACCCTTGGGGAGCTGGGCCAAGTCCCAGCCCTCTCCAGTTCAGCCCATGTCAGACCCCGCTCCAAGGCTGTGGTGTTGATCCAGCTCTGCATGCCCCATCCTGGTGCTGTGGCAATGGCAGCACCGTGCCCACTGCAGGTCGCCTTTGTGCCCTGTGGCCATGGGAGGGTTGGGGTCCTGTTGCTGGGGTCCTGGCTGTGTGTCCCCCTTATCCCAATCCTTACTTTGGGCCTCTACATCAGGCAAGTAGTGCTGGGAACCACTGGAGACCTCCAAGCCTTTAGGCACTACCGGATGCATTGGCATCCCTATTTACCAGCCGGTCTGATGGCCCCAGCATGTCCCCATCCTGGTTTGGGGCATGGAGCATCATCCCCCAGCTCTACCCAACAACTCCTGTCCCCAGCACTCACCCATCTCCTGGGGAGCCTGGTTAACCCCAATTTCCCCTCTGCTTTACAGGCTTGACCCGCAGCGGCTCCGCCAAACCGAAGGTAGGAGGGTGCTGGGCTGGGGGCTGGCAGGGAGGGATGCGATGGTTTGGACACGGAGCTCATCCCTAACCCTGGCATCACCCCGTTCCCAGGGCACGTGGCCATCGCGAAAGGCACCGCCGCACCGGGACCTCCTCGCCATCCCCTTCGTCTCGGCTGCCGCACGCAAGAGGAAGAAGAGGAGAGAGGCCGAGGGCGTTGGGAGCAGCACCGATGACGATGCGGAGCGCAGGGATGCTCCAGGCCGGGAGCAGGAGGATGAAGGGACCGCAGCCATCCTACCGGGACACGGCACCCGCACCGAGCCAGCGGTCCCCAGCCCGGCTGGGATGGAGCGGAAGAGCTCCCTGGAGCCTGGGGATGCTGTATCCGAGCCAGCTCCCGATGCCCGCTCCATTGTGTCGGGTTACTCCACCTTGTCCACCATGGACCGCAGCCTCTGCTCCGAGGTGCAGTCAGTGGCCGGGAGCCGTGGGGAGGAAGCGGATGATGAGCGCAGCGAGCTCAGCCACATGGAGACGGACACGGAGAGCCGGGAGGGCGCCCGGCGCCGCTTGGGGCAGGGGGACGGTGGCCCCGGGGATGAGGACAAGGGGGTCTTGAGCCGCCCTTCCTTCAATTCCCACCGCCTGATCCAATGCGACACGCTGGCCCGCAGGAAGCTGGCGCGGCCCCGGCCGGCCGGTGACACCAAGGAGGAGCAGGGTTGGGGTCCCTCTCTGCGGGAGCAGCTCCGGCATCGCCTGCGGGGCTCTGCTGAGGACATGGGGGTGCTGCTGCGGCGAGCCCACTCCCCGGAGACGCGCCGCAAGAAGAGCAGCTGGCGCCGGCACACGGTGGTGGTACCCGGTGGCATCAAGGACCTCAATTGCAATGAGTGGAAGGAGCCGCGTGCGATGGAGGTGGCCCCAGGACCCTGCCGTGACAAGGATTCAGGGCTCAGCAGCTTGGAGTCCACCAAAGCCCGGCCCCTGGTGCAGTCTGGCATCACCGGTGAGGCATCCACTACCAAGAGCCCCCCCGGCAGCCCCGGTCCCCCAGCCCCGTTGCGCTTCCCACAGTGTCTGTGACCCCCTCCCCACAGCTCCCCATCACCCAGAGGGTTTAACTTAAGGACTCTCCTTTGTTCCTCTATTTAAGTGTGCTCTGGACAAGCTGCTCTTATTTAACAGGTCCCTATGGTCCCGGGTGGGACAAAGCCATGTGGTGGCCCTAGGGACAACCTGGGTGCCGTGTCCCAGCAGTGGGCAGCGCCAGGGACCCATGGGGACCATCCCCATCGCAGGCAATGGTAGCTCTGCTGTGTCCGTGGCAATGGGAAGTGCTGGCACTTCCTTGGGCGCTACGGCTTCATTTGCCAGGGACATTCCCTGTGCTGGGAGCCCTGCGGAGCCTGGGCTGGGAACCTTGCAGAGCTTGGGTTGGGGAACCCTCTGCTTGGGACCCTGGGGACCCTGGGACCTCGGTGTGCTCTGTGCTATAGGTCTGGGCCGAGCCCCGGTGGCCCTTGGCCCTATGGATGGCGTCCCCATGGGCTGGGTGTGACAAGAAGGGGATGGGGACGGGATGCTGCCATCCCCTGCACCTCCATGAGCCACAGCTCATGTATGGCACATGGCACAAGGCACAGCCCTGTTCCCCTTCCTACACCCCCCCCCCCCAGGCTAAAAGCACTTTAGGAAGGGGACACGGGGACCCCCCCGCCCCGTGGGCCATGGCTGGTGTCACTGGGAGGGGGGGGCTCCAGTCTCTCACTGTTTCCCCTGTGTTGTTCTCATACCTTCTGCAAATATTTGCTGTAAAGTTGGGTTTTTTCTTTACTCCCCCTCCTGTAAATACGCTCCCAGCTCTGTAAGATACCGCAGAGGGTTTCTAAAGGGTTTTTTAAGCTGTTTTGCTCCATGGAAAGGGCCAGCCCCAAGCAGGGGATGTGCTGGACCAGTGATGACTTCTGACCCCCTCCTGCATGTGCCTCCCCCCTTGCAGTGTGTTGTACAAGTTGGGCCATGGAGCTGGTATATGCAAAAGTGCAACCTCCCCCCCTCAAAACACAACACCCCCAACCACAGCCCCTCCATCGCTTCATCCCACTCCAGTACTGGTCTATATATTGGAAATAAACTGGTTATTCGAGGTGGTTTCCTGCTTTATTGTCTCTGCTTGGGGGGGGGTCAGGGCAGGGATCCCCTGTTTTCTATCCTACAGGGTCTGGAGCACTGGCAGCATCCAAGGAAGGATTTATCCCAGCCTTTTCTAGAGCCTGGAGGGAAAGGAGATGGATCCATGCCTCCACTGACCCATCCCAAAGGGAATGTGGGACTGGGGTGAGTCTCAGGAGCAGGGATGTCTAACCCCATCTCCCATAGGGAATGTGGGACTGGGGTGGTCTTGGGACCAGGGATGTCTCACCCCACCTCTTATAGGGAACATGGACTGGGGTAGTCTCAGGAGTAGGGATGTTAAACCCCATCTCCCATAGGGAATGTGGGATGGGGGTGGTCTCAGGAGCAGGGATGTTAAGCCCCATCTCCCATAGGGAATGTGGGACTAGGGTGGTCTCGGGACCAGGGATGTCTCATCCCACCTCCTATAGGGAACGTGGATTGGGGTGGTCTCAGGAGCAGGGATGTTAAACCCCATCTCCCATAAGGAATGTGGGACTAGGGTGGGCTTGGGACCAGGGATGTCTCACCCCACCTCCTATAGGGAACATGGACTGGGGTGGTCTCAGGAGCAGGGATGTTAAACCCCATCTCCCATAGGGAATGTGGGACTGGGGTGGTCTTGGGACCAGGGATGTTAAACCCTATCTCCCATAGGGAATGTGGGACTGGGGTGGTCTCGGATCCAGGGATGTCTCACCCCACCTCATATAGGGAACGTGGATTGGGGTGGTCTCAGGAGCAGGGATGTTAAACCCCATCTCCCATAGGGAATGTGGGACTGGGGTGGTCTTGGTACCAGGAACGGCCCACTCCGTCTCCCAAACAGAATGTGGTACCAGGCTGGTCTCAAGAGCAGGGATGTTAAACCCCATCTCCCATAGGGAATGTGGTACGGGGGTGGTCTCAGGGATGTCTCACCCCATCCCCAAGAGACCAGACGTGGGGAGGGGGTTCAAAAAAGTGTCAGCGAGAGAGAGAAAACACCCCAAAAGAAAAAAAGAAAGTAATTTTATTAAAGCCAGACACTCTGATAGAAAAGAAAAGTAATAAAGGGAAAAGAAAACAACCAAAAGCAACCCTTTGTCATCGGTGTTTGCACGTTACAATGGTCACGTTGTGCACAGAACTACCCATGGCATCCACAGTGACACAGGGACAGTGGTGGGCAACGGGGCAGGGAGGGCGGCGGGGGGCAGCTCCCCCCCATATCCCAACCTTTACCCTCTGCACACCTCGGTTTTGGGGGGGTTTGGTTCTTCTTGAAATCCTTTTTGCTTTTAAAACAGTTCACAAGAAAAAATTCATGCGGAGACACACGACGCGGTAGAAACCCCAAAAACAGCTTCTAAAGAGTAGGAGGAATAGATTTTTTTTTCTCTTTTTTTCATGGTTTTTTTTTTGTCCTTTTACAAGTAACCTTTTTTCTTAAACAACATCCAGACAGTAAAGCAGGGTGCGCATGCAGCGGGCGCCTCCGACACATGCACGATGCAGGCAGCGCTTGGGTTTCTTCTTCTTTTTCTTGGGTTTGTTTTTTTTTTGGATCATTTTTGTAATGTTTTCCTCTTTTTTTTTTTGGTCCTTTTCTGTGTTTTTTATTTTCTTTATTTATCTCTCCTCAACCAGAAGGAAGGGTTTGGTTTATGTCGGTTTATGTCCTCTTTTGCTTCAGCGCCGGCACCGAGGTCGGTGCTCGCGGAGGGTTTGCGTGATGCCATGAAGGGACGGACGCACACGCACGCAGAGACACATACGCTCACAGAGAAACCAGCCTGATGGGCAGTGGGGAGGGTTGGGGGGGAGAGGAAATGGGTGCACCCCATCACTCAGTGCACCCCATCACCCAGTGCACTCCATCACTCAGTGCACCCCATCACCCAGTGCACCCCATCACCCAGTGCACTCCATCACCCAGTGCACTCCATCACCCAGTGCACTGCATCACCCATCACCGTGCACCACATCACCCATGGCAAGGTGATCTGGATGCAGGTGGGGGTCCACCAATGGTGATACCTGGGAGAGGGGTGGTCCCTGGACAAAGCTGGGGTGCAGCAAAGGGAATAGACCCCCTCATCCCAACAGCTGGAGCTTGCTCCGAGTACCAAGGGTGATGGAACATACATGGGTGCTACTGGGATGGGGCTGCACTAACTACGGCTCCCTCCCCACCCTGACCTCTTTACACCCACGTGTCTGTGTCACTGGGGGGCTGGTGGCACTTGTTCCCCCCAGGACAAATAGGGACAGGAGATCCCAGGACACATGGTGCTGCCTGGGAGTCCCCTTCCCACGGGAGCACTGGGATGGGTGTAGGTCAGGGTGGGATGGGGCTGGGGAAGAAGAGTGAGGGGACCCCATCCTGGCCATAAGAAGCTGCGGCTTTGCTACAGTATTTCACTTTGGTACCAAGAAAAAATCATCAGAAAGGAAATAACACACATCAAGTGACTGCTATTGCTGCAGGGAGGTGGGTGCCAGCGTCCCCGGGGCCATCACCCATGGGTGCCAGCATCCCCAGGGGCACCCAGCCCCTTCCACCCCCCTGCTCCGGCAAGGGATGGGGATGGGGACAGGACAAGGAAGGTGCTGGATGGAGGATGAGGACTCAGCACGAGGGCTCACAAGCCGCTAGGAACCGACCCTCTCAAAATCACAAGGAGCTATAGGCTAACAGGGAAGCAAATCCACCCCCTAAGATACCAGACGGGACGAGATTTATTTCTTTTCTTTTCTCTTTTTTTTTTTCTTTAAATATTTATATATTTCTATTTATAGTACGTATATTATATATATATAATATGTAAATATATTTCTTAAAACAATATAAAATGTTAAGACACTTCACTTAAATGTAAAGAGTTGCTTTTTGCAATCCAAAGAAATTGCATCATGATTCTTTTTTTTTTCTCTTTTTTTTTGTCTCTTTTTTTGTCTTTTCTTCTCTTTGTTATTCAAAAAAGGCTCGTTCTGTACAAAAATGATCGATATACAAAAAAAAGAGGGGAGGGGGAAAGAAGTAATAATACTAATAAATAATACTAATAAAAGAAACCAACCCAAGGACAAACTGGCCAACGAAAGGAGTGATTCGATCTCGTGTTGCACACCCAGTGCACACCCAGCTCACTGTGCTAATGGGGGGGGACACGGGCAAAGGGATCCCCTCCGTGTTCCCCCAGGCTTGGGGATGGGACTGCTCCCCACGGAAGGGCCATGTGGGATCCCCATGCAAGGGGCTTTGGGGACCTGCTTGTCTCCAAGGGTATTTGGTGCTCAGGGAGGGGACAGCGGGGGTTCCGAGCCCCCTGAGCATCACATTGTGCCCACCCAAGTGACCATTTAAAGTGCTACGTTGCGACCCGAAGGCGATGGATGCTCGACTGGACCCATTCCTGCCCCTTCCCCGTTTCACATCCTCAGCCTCCGGCCTCTCCGGCACGTCCGGGCACCCCTTGGGGCTGCTCCCGGCTCCTTCCCCAGCCCTATTCCCACTCCCCCTCCCTGGGGAGAGCCAGGGCTGGCACCCAGGGGGCAACCGGTGGTACCGGCACCCCCTTGGGATGAAGGACACGGTGCCGCCGCCTCGCCACCCGCCACCCATCGCCAAGACCTGGCCGGAGCTCCGAGCATCCTCTCATCCCGCTGGCTCGGCGCGGCGGCGGCCGGGATGCTCGGTGATGGCCGGGAGCGAGCGGTCGGATGGAGGGGTGTCTTCGGCAGCTGTTTCCCACCTTTCCGGGGTGGAATGGGTGCTGCTCGCATGGGCAGCGGGGTTGGGTGCTGCCCGGTGTCCTCCTTGCTTGAAGCTGGTGAAACTGGTGGAGTGAAGCTCTGAGAGCTCTTAAATAAATAGAAAACGGTGGGGTGGGAAGGGAGGGGAGGGCAGAGAAAAAAACCAAACCAACAGCAACCCAAAGGAACCGAAAGGAAAAGGGAAAAGGAAAGGGAAAGGGAGGAGAAAGAGAGAGAGAGAGAAACAGAAAGTGGCTGGTTGGCCATTGAGGAGCGAGATGGGAGACAGAAGTCGGGCCGAGGCGGAGCAGAGGCGAGACACAAGTTGGGCCGAGGCGGAGCAGAGGCGAGACACGAGGTCGGCCACATTGGAGCAAAGACATGGATATAAAACAGAAAGAGGAGGGACGGGTGGTGAATCCCTCCAGGTGCCTCAAGAAGACAAGTCCCAGGGAGGAGGAGCCCAAGGAAGAGAGAAGCCCGGCCCCAGGAGCAGGAGAGCAGTTGGGTTGAGCTGGCAAGGATGCTCAGAATGAGATGGAGGAGTTCCTTGCCCCAAAGGAAGTCAATACGGGGATGGATGTTCTGCCAGCTGCGGGTTTTTCTGAGACCGTGGGGGAAGTCTCACTAGCCTCTTTAGATGGTCTAGCGGCCTAGAAAGAAAAGCAAGATTCAAGGAGGAGGAGGAGGAGGAGAAAAGGGTGGAAAGTCAAACAGTTTCTTACAGGGAAAAGAAAAAGACAAAAGAAAGGGAGAAAAAAGACAGAATAAAGGAAAACAACCGAAAACCAACACAGCCAAGAACCAAACAGGAGTTTGTTCAGCAGCAGCATTGAGTTAGGCCTGAGGTCAAGCAGCTGGAAAAGGTCCACCACAAACAGAGCACGAGATGAGGCTGGTCCCACGCGTTACTGGATGGGGAAGGGACGTCCCCGAGAGACAACAGAGACACAGACAGACGGACAGACACAAGGACAGGCAGGCAGGCACAGAGGCGGGTGAAGGGGAGAAAGGTGGGGGGGGACAAGAAGGGCAGTGTTAGATGTTAGACGAGGTGGGCACAGCGCAGCACCCAGCTCCACCGGCTGGTGCTGGGGATGCCACCAAGGTCTGGGTGGGCATCAACCCTCAACCGAGCAGGGCAGAGACTCAGCAGCCCCATAGCAAGACCATGGCAGCCCCATCTCCTCTGAGAGGTGACGGTGCCCACCCTGTACCCTTGCGCCCATCACAGTGATGTGACAGCCACAAGCAAGTGACATGACCCAACCTTACTCCAATGTGATCCAAAGGGAGCCAGGGCACCGGGAATGATGCTTGTAATCCCTCCTGGAATGGAACTAGATGATCTTTAAGGACCCAGCCCAAACCACTCTGTGATGCTGTGAATGGGGAGAGGGCTCCTGCAGCCCCAGCTCACCCTTGCTGTGTTGGGATGGGATGCTGGGCACAGGGACACGCAGCCAAATCCTGTGCAGGGAGGGCATCCAGGATCAAAGTGCCATGGAAAACTGGTCCAGCCACCCCAATGAGGGCATAGGTGGGTGCTAGGGACTGGGTGAGTGCCAAGGGGTGCCCCAAGGCTCCAGGGAAGGGGACTTTGTGCCCAGGAGAGGTTGATGCTTCCCAACCCCTCAGAGCTCCTGGAATGGCCCCTTTTGACCAGCATTACTCTCCTCCCCAGCCCATGGGGCAGCCCTATTGGACAGGAGCCCTGTCATTCCCTGATGCTGGGGGTGACTGGCAGGAAGACCCCAACATCAGGGATAGACCCTGCCCAAGGATGCTTCACCATGACCATGGGACCATCTCGGTTGTGTTCATGACAAACAGGACCTGAGATGCTCTGATCCAGCAATGGAGCAGCCAAGGAGGAATAGAGGGGCTGCACCCTCTTGCTGGAGCTGAGAGGAACACAAGGTGCCTATTTTGCTCATGCAACAACCACCCAAATTGCATGATGTGTCCCAGCCCAGCTTAAACAGCTTTTGGTTTATCCAACAGGGTTTATGGATCCAACAGAATGAGCAAAACCGGGTTGATTTGGGGTGGTTTAATGCCAGGCCCAGGGAAAGGGGATTGAGACACAGAGCAGGGAGTAGGGAGGAGAGGATGGGGTGAACCCACTCATGGTCCTGCTGCCCACTGGAGGGCTGGGATGGAGAGAGGAGGAGTGAGGAGGGATGGAGGGCCATGTGCTGGCTGTGGTTACCTTGCCTGTGGTCTGAGCAAGCTGGAGAAGCCATTGCCACCACTGGGGTGTCAGCAAGAACAGTGGGGACTGAGTCTCAGCACCATGGCATGGGATGGGATAGGGGTGGGTGCTGGGCTGGGACACCCACACACCACCCCAAAGCGCTCCTCTTCCAGCTGCTGTGCTCCCCCCCAAGCTGTCCCCACACTGCCCAGGTTCCACCCCTCTATCTGTGACATCCCCTCCTAGAACAAGCTGCTTCTGCAGACACGGTGGGTCCTGGGTCTCCAAACCCCCTGGGATGGGTTGTGCATCCCTTCCCTTCCCTTCCCAGCCCTTGGAGCCCCTGTGCCATGCACACAGCTCTGCAGCCCATCACCATGGCCAAGATATTCTGCAAGGAGGCTTTGGGGTTCCTCAGGACGAGGGGACCAACCCTGGGGCTCAGCCTTGTCCATCACTGAGCTGGGGGACAAATGACTTCAGCCTCACACCATACTGGTTAATGAGTTTGTCACTCTCAGCACAAAGCTGTGTCCCCATTCCCTGCAGCCAGCTATAGAAACCACCGTGCTGGGCACAGATCAAGGCAAGAGCCCCCTCTGCACCCCAAGAGTCACATCCCTGTGCCCCCAGCCCCACTGGGCTCAGCCAAGGTGAAGGGGTGGACCAAGAGATCCAGTCCCTGAAAGCAGCATCTGAGATGCTGGAGCTATGGGCAGCGTGTGGCTCTCCTTGGTGCCAGGAGAGCTGGTCAGGATGGTGCTGGAGGTGATAACTACCTGCTGCTGGCCCTGGATCCGCATGTACTCCATCCGCTGCTTTATGTGCTTGCTTTTGTCGGGGCTGCCCTGCTGGCTCTGCTTCAGCCGGGATGCCGGGTTCACCACCTTCATGGCCGGGATGGAGACACCACCGCTCTGTTGGGACAGAGGATTTGGGATAGGGGGTTAAAACCAGCAGATGAACGCTCACAGCAGCACCATGGGCAGCTGGAACATCGGCTGCATGGAGATGTACCCAGCTCCTGTGGCAACCACCGTGTCTGGACAGCCCATAGAGGCAAACTCAGGCAAGGACAAGGTCACCACAGCATCAGTGAGCTCAGGAACCAGGCAGGACTTTATCAACAGCCACCACTGCAATGCAAAGAGGGAGTTAGGGGCAGACACAGCAAACACCAGGAGATTGAGGGCAGGAGGAGAACATCCCTGCGGGGCAGGGCTCCATAGCCAAGAGAAAGGAAAAGAGGCAATGGGAGATTCCAGGTGGAAACAGCAGCAGAGGTTTTTATTCCCTGGCTGTGCACAGATGGAAGAGCAGCAGTGAGGGAAGCTGGTACTGCAGGTCCCTAAAGTGGGGCACCCCAGATCCTCTTTCTCTGCCTGCCCCAAGCTGAGTCTGCACCAGAGATGCTGCCCCAGAGATGTGCAATTGGTGCCCAGATTGCACCTCCACTGGGAGAGGGACAGCAGGCTCTCACAGCGTGTCCTCCTGCCCTGCTCTGTGATCCATGGATGAGATACTGGGATTCCTGCACCTCACAGCACAGGGAACCCCAGTGCCCAGTGCTGCAGCATCCCTGGATGCACACACCAGATCTCAGCCTTCACATCCAACTCACTGCAGCCCTGTGCTCTCCTGCTCTGCTTCTGGGCCTAAGCCAGCTCCTGCTGCTGAGCTTTGCTTTGTGCCTACCCCTGCACGTACACAGCCACGAATCCATCCCCACATCCAGGCTCCATCAGGGAGGTGACACCAGGAGAAACTGCAGCTGCATCCCCTTGAGGGCCACCCTCGGTGGCACCAGGAACCAGGGCTCGGATCATTGCTGCACATGGAGCTTTATTCCCCGGCGCTGTTAATAAGGGAGCAGAAGTGGCTGAGGGCATTTTCCACCCTCTTTTCCCAGCTTATCCAGCCAACTGAGCCACAGATTCCAGCAGAAAGCAGTTTGGATGGCTCCGGGCAGCCTGTGCTGGGATGTAATTAGGAGAAACATCTGCCATGCTCCAACTGCAGTTCCTGAGACAAGGACTTATAAAGGAGGGATGCTGCTTTGTCACCACGCTGGGATGCTCATCACCAGCCCCAAAACCTGCAGAAGATACCAGATTAGCGAGGGTCTAATTCAGCACAGGCGGCATCAGCACCAGTGAGGGGCAGGATGCAGCATCGCCTTCAATCTCCCTCCTGCTTTCCTGCACTTCCCAAACCCCTTCGAGTGACAGGGAAGGAAAGAGATTTGTTTTCCACCTTGGTTCTGCCTGGAGGTGGAGTCACAGAGAGGGAGCAGGTAGAGGTGGAGGAAGAGAGACATCAGATTGAGTCCAGGGCAGAGCACAGCAAGAGGGATAATAGGAAATAAACCTGTGGCTTGGGTAGCAGAGGTGGCTTGGTCTTGCTTGGAGACAGGCTCTCGGGAGCATCATCTCTGGCCTGACTGAGATCCAGGATAGTCCCATCCTCACAGGTACCGTGTTTGAGATCCCCCAGACCTCGCTTGGTCTCCTCACTGGCATCCTTGGATCCCGCTGGTCCAAGCAGTTCTTTAGGGAATAGAGATCCAACTGCGGGGTGGCTGCTGATCTCACTGATGGTTATTTCCAGCTCACGGATGGTTTCTTCCAGGCTATCCAGTCTCTGGTACGTGCCTTCATAGATCTCCTTGCTGCATGGAGTCATGGAGCAGTGAGGGGACAACTGCCCTTTGGAGACCCCCTCTGCTGCCTTCCTCCCAACCCCAGCATCCTCTGTGCCACCCCGGTACGGTGATGCTGTGACATGGGACAGCTCAGCCCGGGATGATCCACTTCGCCATGGGGCTGGATCCCTGCTTGGGGAAGCTCCAGGATGTGGCACTGGGCAGGCTGGGGCTGGTGAGTTGTCCTCCATCCATGCCGAGTCTCCAGGTGGGACTGAGATCCTCTGTTTGCTCTGCCCAGCTCCAACTTGGGGGTCCCCATCACTGGGATGCTGGGGGACAGCACCGGGCCTCCTGCTGCCTGCACTGGTGGAGGGGAGCGATGCTTTTCCAGCTCTAGGACCCATTGTTTCTCGCTGGGGATGTGCAGCCAAGGAACCTCGGTGGGAAGTCTTGCTGCTGCCTTCTTGCTTGCTGGAGGCATCCAGAGCAGCATCTCCTCCTTCTCCCACCACGGGGCAGCTCATTTTATGCCTTGAGAAAGGCAGGACCTTGCTGGCTGATAGAGGGGACCTCCAGGTCTCTCCTGCTCCATGGGCACGGCCCATGCTATGGGCTCGGATGGACTTGGATGGGCTGCTCAGGGGCTGCGGGGCTGAGCCTGGAGGGTCCCCAGGACTGGAGATGCCAGTGGACTCCTGGCATTTCCTTCCCACCCCTCCTGCTCCTATGGGGCCAGCCAGGTCCCCATTCGCCGAGCTGCCTTTTGCCACCCAAACCTCCGCTTCGGCTTCGGGGGACGGTGGTTCTGACACCCACTGGGTGAGCACGATCTGCGGGAGGGAGAAGGGCCTGCTCCCCGGCTCCTAGGTAGAGAATTCAGACACGTTAAGAGCAGGAGGTGATGGGGAGCACTATGGGTCTGCACACACCACTTGGAAACCCTATTTCAGTTGCCTCCGGGCATCGTAGTGCTGCAGGGAGGTGTTGAGCCAAGGAGGGAGATGCTCAGCTCCCTGCTGCCCGGCCCTGACATCCCATTGGTACCCACAGCACAGACAGGGAGGGTTTTCAATGTGTTTCTGGGAGATTTTGGCAGTGCATTGCCTGGACTTCAGCAAAAATGAGTTGGTGTCGCTGCACCGAATGCCTTTGGAAACTCAACTGCAACTACCCAGCTCTCCCATGCTGGGATAAACTGGCAGGGCACTGGTGCAAGAGCAGAGCCCTGAGTGGCACCCAGGATGAGGAGGCAAGGAGACACAGGTTCTGGGTCCAGAGGTGGACCAGTCTGACCTCTGGGGAGAGGGGTCCTTGTCCATGGGGACAGAGATGGTTGATTCAGCCCCAGTGCTGGGTGTCCCAAGAGGGGGACCCCTGCAGCACATCCAGACCCCACCAGCACCTGAGCTGCCCTGGATGAGGCAGAGCTCCCCTCACCAGATGCTTTCAGTGATACCCTCTATCTCGGTCCCCTTTGTCCCCCCATCCCCTGCTCCATCCCATCCTCTTTCCAGGTGCTTTCCACCCCGGAGTCCAGGACAGGATGGAGGGCAGGGAGGGGCCTGAAGGGGTGGTGGAGCCAAACCCAACTGGGTCCCAGCAGCCACCACCCTCTGGTCCAGCCCTTCACCTGCATCATGCACACGGATCAGGCTCTCCCTGCGCACACATGCATCACCCACCATGGCCCCCTTCCAGTGACACCCTCCCTGGACACCCAGTGTGGCACGAGGTCAAGAAGCCCTCCCTGTGCCCATCCCAGTGTGATGCCGGGGTGTCCCCATCCATCCTCCCATCCACGTGGCTGCAGGAGCTGCAGCAGCGCCGCGCCGCTGATGCAGGGGTTAGTGCTGGGTCCTGTGCCGGGTCAGTGCCGTACACGCAGTGGTGGTGAGGGAGGGAGTGGAGAGAAGCCGTTAGTTTGTTAAACCAGAGAAAGAAGCAGAAGTGAGTTAAAAAGAGGCGGGAGAGGAGGTGGTTAAAGTGCAGCCCGTCAGCAGGAGGAGGGATCGGATCGTCCGCTGTTACCTTCCATCCTTCAATGCAGGCTCCGTTGGGCCACAAGGCTGCGTGCCCAGGGGAGACGGCAGCATCGTATCGGAGCTTGGGGAGGAAAGGGGAGGCAGAGCTCCTCTGAAAGACCTGGGGAGTCAAACACGGGCCATTGGAGGAGGGAGGCTTGAGGGTACCAATGCAGCCCGTGGCTGCTGGGATGCTGGTAGTGGTCACATCAGAACCAGGGCTCAAGCAGAACATGGGAATGTGGATGCAGCCGCGTCCTGCAGCATCACCGGTCCCCCCGGCCTCCTGGGGGAAAACCAGCCATGGAAAAGCCATCCACTACACACTTGGGCACCTCAGCTGTGGCAAATGGGGTGAGGATGTGGGGCAGAGCCAGCCTCAGGGAGTTCAGAGCCTGGGGACAGTGTGTTGGGTGGGATCTCTGCAATGCCCTGAATACAAACCCCTCCAGCTGAAGCTGCATAAAACCAAGTGAGGTTATCTTAAAGCCTATGATGGGGTGGAATTGCTGAAGAGAGACCATGAACCAGGCAGCGATGGGTCTGGCTGGGTGCAACAGCTCCACACTGCCCATCCCCAGGGCCCCGTGCTCCTGCTGGGAGACAGGCGAGGAGGTGGCATCCTGTGGGATGTCATTCCCTGCATCCCATTGCAGTCCCGGGAGCCGGGCACAGGGTGGCATCGCCTGCAGTGCGGGTTAAACTGGGGCACCCCGCAGCCCCTCCCGCGCTCACCTCCAGCTCCGCAATGATGCGGTCCTCGTCGTCGTCGTCTTTGATGGCAGAGGCGATGATGGGGGGGGTGGACGCGGGTCTCACCACCTCCGACACCGTTCGTCTCAGCTTCACCTGCGGCTTCTGCGTCTCCAGCTCCTCCGATTCGGCCTTCTGCAAGCGGGGAGCAAGGGGGTGAGGGGGGTACTGCTGGTGGTGACCCCCTCGATGCAGCCCAAGCATCATCCCATAACCCCCTTTCTATACCTTTATAAACCCGGGCTCTTTCTTGCTGGTGACGATGACTTCGCCGCTGCGGGTTGTGGTGAGCCCGTGGGACGAAGGGAAGCTGCGGCGTGGAGGGGGAGGCGGTGGCGATTTGGATGGTTTCTCGGTCCGGTACCGCGGCACCGTCAGTTCGTCTGGGCACAAACGATGCTGTGAGGGCACGAGACCTGTCCCTGCCCCTCTCATCCAACACCCGGGGCACAAACCTCCCTTTGGGGCAGCAGGAGACCCACTGGGGATGGCACAGCCCCGGTGCCCCATCCCTGGGTTATGGAAGGGGGACCCGTGACCACCTCACACCGTACCTGAGCCCCTGCGGCCGTTGGGGTCTCCTTTGCCCCCCGATTTGGGTGCGTGCTGCGGCTTGGAGGGTTTGTGCTCGGGGGTGGATGCGGTGCTGCCGCTGCCTGGGGCTTGCTTGTGCTTGGCAGCGAATTCCAGGTCGGGAATGGCCTTCATGAGCTCGGCTTGGGTCTCCTCCAGGAGGCGGTTGATGTCCTTGGCGCTGTACTGGGTCAGCGCCGCTCGCTTCTCCTCCCAGTCCCGCTCAGCAGCCTGCAGGAAGAACCCGCTGCAGCCCCATGCACGGCAGCATCTCCTCCCCTTGCAGGCAGGATGGGACCCACAACCCTCCTGCCAGCCCCTAAACTGATGCCGAGCCCAAAAGGAATGGGGAGAGACACAGCGCTGAGCCCATCACAGAGCTGCACCCCCCCGTAGTGTGCAATTGGGGGTGCTCCCAAAGCTGCATTAATGGGGGCTCCCCATTTTCAGCCACCCTGTTGGCTGCAAACCCAGCGAGGAGAAGGAGGATAGACCAAATTCCTGTTCACAGCTTCAGCTGGCAATAGAACCATAGGATCATAGACTGGTTTGGGTTGGAAACCATCATCGACTGGTTTGGATAGGAAACCATCATAGATTGGTTTGGGTTGGAAACCATCATAGACTGGTTTGGGTTGGAAACCATCATAGACTGGTTTGGGTTGGAAACCATCATAGATGGTTTGGGTTGGAAACCATCATAGACTGGTTTGGGTTGGTAACCATCACTGACTGGTTTGGGTTGGAAACCATCATCGACTGGTTTGGGTTGGAAACCATCATTGACTGGTTTGGGTTGGAAACCATCATAGACTGGTTTGGGTTGGAAAGGACCTTAAGGTCAGCTACTTCCAAACCCCTGCCATGGACACGGATACCTCACACTAAACCATGTCACCCAAGGCTCTCTCCAACCTGGCCTTGAGCACTGCCAGGGATGGGGCAGCCACAGCTTCTCTGGGCACCCTGTGCCAGTGCCTCAGCACCCTCACAGGGAAGAGCTTCTGCCTTATCTCCAACCTGAACTTCCCCTGTTTCAGCTTGAACCCATCACCCCTTCTCCTATCGCTCCAGTCCCTGATGAAGAGTCCATCCCCAGCATCCCTATAGGCCCCCTTCAGACACTGGAAGCTGCTCTGAGGTCTCCACGCAGCTTCTCTTCTCCAGCCTGAACAGCCCCAACTTTCTCAGCCTGGCTCCATACAGGAGCTGCTCCAGCCCCTGAGCATCCTCATGGCCTCCTCTGGCCTTGCTCAACAGCTCCATGTCCTCCTTATGTTGAGGACCCCAGAGCTTCACACAGTGCTGCAAGCTGGGTCTCATGAGAGCAAAGGGATAGGATCACCTCCTTCGACCTGCTGCTCACTCTCCTTTCAATGCATATCCCATAGGGAAAAACCCTCTGGAAGAGCCCCCCTCCAAGCCCCAACTGATCCCAAGCTCTCACCTCCACGGATACAGCTTTGTCCGCGCTCTTCTTGCTGGGGGTCTCAGGGCCCGTCTGGGTCTTGGCTGGCACCATCTCCGGCGCTCGGGAAGGGTTGTTACTCTTGGAGGGATGGCTTTGGGGTTGGGGGGAGCTGTGCCCAAAGCCGGGCATGCCCAAGGTCTCAGTGGCGGCCGTCAGATGGTGGAGGCTGACGGGGGGGCTGGTGGGCATCTCCAAATCCAACCCCTTGCTGAAGTCTGTCTCGGGGGCCACTTTCTTGGGGGACTGGCTGAGGTTGCTGGGGGACGTCCAGACGCCTTCATCCACTTGCCTGCAAGGGACAGAGCAATGGCACTGGGTACGGGTGGTTTCACTGCACCCTCTCCAAGGAGCAGCACCAAAACACTCGCCCTCCTGCATCTCTGCGCTACGGGGATGAAGGTTGAGGTTCTCAGATGGCTGGGAAGGGGGTTGGTATCGATGCTACAGCCTCCTGTACCTGGCTGTGTGTTCCCATTAACCTGGTAGGAAAATGGATCTTCCCAAACCCTGCCCCTCTGTCAGATCTGGCTGAAATTGCCCTTTGGATTTAGGAGTTACGAGGGATAAGGGATGACAGCGAGGGCAGATTCAGACACTGTGATCATACAAGCTCACGTCCACACAAAACCAGGCTAACAAAGAGCCTGAGGCTGTGAGCTGTGAGCCATCCAAAAGGGCTCATAATGGGAAGAGGCAGGTAGGCTCAGCCCAGCACCATCATTAGATCTGGAAGGTGATTTTCCCCCAGCAGAACCTTTCCCTGCTCCTCAGGAAAGAGGTTTCTGATCACAATGAGGCTGCTTTTCCATATGGATGCACCCCCATGCTTTTCCAAGGTGATCTGGAAAAGTGAGTGTAGAAAGAGGGGTTCCCACTTTCTAAGGTGGAAGGACTAAGGGTGGGTTTTGGTTCCTTAGCAGTAAAACGAGCTTCCTTTCCCCATCCCTTTGGGATTTGCACCTGTAGTGCAGGTAGGATACAGCACACAACACAGAGGGCATAGGGAAAAGTGACGGGACCGCTTGTGTCCTCCAAGATGCTCACCGACGGATCTGGGCGAGGGTGTCCGTCACCGTCTTGCAGCGCTTGAGGAGCCCATCGAGGCGGTTCGGCTCCTCCTTGAGGAACTTGACAGCTTCCACCTCCACCCGCAGCACCACCCGCATCTTGCTCTGCAGGCTGGGGAACTGGGCTGGGGTTGGGGGGAGAGGTGGGGGTCACCACAGCCCCTTTGTGCCACCAAAACCCCCATGGTCATCATACCCAAGGCAAGGGGACCCTGCCAGATGGAGCGGGATGAAGCCTGAGGAGATGGGGCTGGTGCCTCTCCTGCTCTCTGTGTGCTTCATCCTTTCTCCATCCATCCTCAGGCACAGATTTTAACCCCTGAAGGTGTCCCCCTCACATCCATGAGCACCAAACCCCACTCTGGAGCTGGGAACTTGGTACCCAGGACTCAGTGGCAAGGGCTGGCATGGAGCAGGTGCCAGTGCTCTGCTCAGCATCCCGGCTGCTCAGCATCTGCCTGACTACATGGAAAGGCTGCAGGAAAAGGGAGCAGCTCCTACCTCTCCCCTGTGCCTCATAGTGCTCCTCATAGCACCCCATGGACCCTTGTCTTGCAACCTCAGCGACTGCTGCTAAATCATCATTTATTGTCTGCTTTGGCTCTGCCACTTCCAATTGGGGTGCTGAGCATCTCTTTGTGAAAGGCAGGATGGGCACAGCCTGGGAACAGGAGGCTGCAGGAGCAGCAGAATCAAGGGCAGTGTTTAAACCCATCACCCCTCATCCTATCGCTACAGTCCCTCTCCAGCACCCAAGGTCCTCACCCTTCAGGTCTGTCAGCGTCTCCCCCAGCTGCTTGAGCACCACTGCCTTCTCCTCCAGCTCCTGCACAGGGATGAGCCAGTGGTTGTGGGTCAAATCCTTCTGGATCTTCTCCACTGACTTCTCCAGGTCACTGTGAGCACATGGACAGGGCAAGGGTGTCACTGCAGAGCCCCCGGGGGTGGCCACAGGGGTGAGAACAAGTGGGCTGGGGACATGCTAGACATGCAGTCAAGGATGTGGCCTGGATGCGGCAGACCTGCTGCTTTCCACCCATGGAGGTCAATGCCCAAGGACCCTCTACCCACTTGCACACCCAGCCTTGGCTCACTTGAGCTGCTGGGTGATGAGCTCCTCCTCGTTGAGGTAGCGGAGCCGTTCCTCTTCCACCAAGCTGCGCTGGCGCTGCAGCGGGTCCTCGTGCTTGCGCATGGTGTCCGTCACCCGCACGCTGATCTCCGTCTCCGTCCGCCGCAGCATCGTCTTCACCATCTCCTGGTTCTGCAGCTGCAAGGGACCGGGATCATAGGATCATAGAAAGGTTTGGGTTGGAAGGGAGCTTAAAGCTCATCCAGTCCCAACTCCTTCATGGGCAGGGACACCTTCCACTGGAGCAGCTTGCTCCAAGCCCCATCCAACCTGGCCTTGAGCACTGCCAGGGATGGGGCACTTCTTTGGCCAACCTGTTCCAGTGCCCCATCACCCTCAGAGCAGCGATGGGGGGTTCAGTGTGAGAAGGGATCCCCTCACTCTCCCACACCCAGCCCCATGCAAAGTCACCAGGAAAGGGGGATTTTCCTACTCCAGGTCTGGAGCCACCCCAATGAGAGCCCCCCCCAGACACCCACCTGCAGCTTCTTGAGCTGCTGGAGCTGGTTGCGGAGGTCGCTGGCGTTCTGCTGCAGGTCGTGGAGGTGCAGCTGCATGTGCAAGCGGGTGATGGCCGTGGGCTGCCCTGCAGGGGTGCTGGTGGCGGAGGGTGGTGGTGGTGCAGGCACTGGTGTCCCCATGCTGCTGCGGCTGGTTGCTGCGGGGAGGGCAAGCAGAGGGTGCTGAGTGCTGATATCCCAGCCTGGAGGAGGCTGCAGGCTCCGTGCCTCTGCTTTCCCAGGAAAGAACTTCTTTCCCAACCCATGCTTGGGGTGGTCTCCAAAATAACCCCATCCACAGCACCACCATGCTGGACCCACCCCGGAGATGCTACATAGTGGGACAGGGGGCTCCTGCTGGTTGCCAGCACACGGTGTGGGGGCTGCAGACCCGCACTCCTGTGCCCATCCCAGGACTCCCCACAGCCACGGGGCAGGGTGAGGGGCTGGCTCCCCAGTTACTTACACGCTGATGGGGGGGTCCCGCCATTGGTGGCTTCTGTCTTCTCACTGCAATGAAAAGGAGGAGGGAAGCGAGAGCATCCTCACCAGCTCAGGGGTGGCCACAGAGGGGGCTGCAAGCAGCATCCCCCTCCCCACAGCAGAGCCCGGGGTCCAACTCCTTACCTGGGGGTCTCAGCCTCGGAGCCGCGGAGCAGCGCGCTCTGCACCAGCCCCGTCAGGCTGGCGATCTGCTTCTCCATCGCCTCCATGCGCTCTCTGCCATGGGGAAGGGAGAGGGGCTGGGTGAGGAGGTGGCTTGGGTACCACGGACACCCTCAGCCTTGTCCTTGTCCCAAAAGGGACACAGGGGAGGCAGCAGCGCTGCTGTCACAGCTACACCCATCCCCTTCACTCTGTGCCTCCAGCATCCCCCCATTCACTGCTTCATCGCCCATCCCATCACCACGGGGCAAAGCCTTCCTCTGCTCTTCCTCTCCCTCCCCAGCCGCACTGACAGACACCACCAGTGCATCAAACCTCATACCCAAGTCCCACCTCACCTTGTCTCCGTGTCTTTAGCTGGTCCAGGGGAGCCAAACCCCGACAACGGGCGATCCCCAGGGCCAGGAAAGAGCTCCGGAGGGCCGGAAGAGCTGGGGTTGCGCGGCTTGTTCACAGGGCTCTCCATGAAGACGGAGGAGCAGGAATCCTTGCGGAAGGACTGCCGGACAGGAGAGGAGCGGCTGGGGGGTCCCGAGTAGGGGCTGTGCGGGCTCTGCCCCGGCTGCACATCCACCAACCGCCCATCAGCCATCTTCTGCGGGGAGGATGGAGGCATGCGGAAACCCAGACCGGGGCCGTACGTGTCGCTGTACATGGGGGCATTGGGCTTGTAGAGGTTGTCCTCCAGCTCCGTCTGCAGGGCGGCCGCTGAGTAGGTGCTGAGGGAACGCACGGAGCCGCGCTTGTACAGCCCCCCCGAGTAGCCAAAAGGGTCTCCCATGCCAGCCAAGGACTGCGTGGAGGTGATGCTGAGCCGTCCCTCGTGCACCATGCCGTAGGGATCGGCGTAGAGCCCCTCGTTCTTCATCAGCACCACGTTCTTCCCGGCTAAGTCCTCGTCCGGTTTCACATCCCGGCGCTCCAGGATGGCGCTGGGGCTGGGTGAGACGCCCTGCGCCGGTGGCAGGTTGGAAAGGCGCTCGCTGTGATGGACGGGGCTGCCGGCATAGGAGGGCGGGCGGCCGCCGCTGTAGGACATGCGGGAGCGGGATGGAGACGAGGACTGGAGCACCGGTGGAGGGGAGCCCGAGGCGAGGTGGGAAGCCGGGGACATGTTGTTGAGCCGGCGGGTGGGAGAGGATTCCCTGGATGTGTACACCATCTCCCGCTGTGGAAAGGGGCAGGATGGGGGTCAGCACCTGCAGAGCAGCTCCTCTGCCCTCCATCCGCCTGGCTGGGACCCTTCCTTGCTGCATCCCTGATAACTGCAGCTCCCGCATCTTCACCTGCCGGCATCTCCCTTATTCCCATCGAGCAGGATGATTTATTCTGATGAATCCCCTAATTATCATGTTTATTGCCCTGCTGTCAGGCCCCAAACATCCATTCTCTCAAAGTAACACTTAACAATGCTGGAACCGGGGCAAGATGAATCGTAGTCATCACCCTTTCCACAAACACAAGCAATTGCCAAGTCCCTATCTCCATCACTTTCCCTCTTTACTGGTTCCAGCCCACTGGATGCACCCACCCTGTGACAACTGTCCCCTTACCCTCAAGTCACCGTTGGTGATGTGGGAGGCTGGGAACGAAGCGTAGAGAGGCTCCTTCCGATAGATCTTGATGATACTTCTGTCCTGGATGTCCCTGGAAGGAGAGGCAGAGCCATCAGCATCCCAGACAGGCAGCCACCGAGCCTGTCCCAGACACAGGATTGCACCCACACCCACCCTTCTGCTTCCATCCCACTGATTTCCTTGCTTGGGATGACCTTAAAGGAAGGAGCAATCAATCTGTGGTGGATTTCTGAGCTCCCCTCCCTCCCCTCTCACCGGACATCCTCCAGCTCATAGAAGACATTGCGCGACTCGTCCTTGATGAGGATGGCCGTGTTGGGAGACTTCAGCATCCCCATGGTGAGCTTCTGGGGGAACATGTGCACAATGAGGGCGTGCAGGGTGTCCATGCTGCTGATCTCGTGGGTGATGTGGACGCGCCTCGTCTCGTCCCCAAACTGCAGGAACAGGACCCCTGGAAGCAGAAGGAGCAGGAAGCGGTGAGGTGCTCACATCCGTTCTCCATGCAATGCAGGTTTGCCCACTGGTCAACCAGCCTCATCCTCAAGCAGTGAGGCTGAAGGCAGCTTGGCCTTGGCCACCCTGCAGTGCCCCCACCTCCATCTGGGGTTATTTGGGCAGACACAAACCAATCCCATGCCCATCCCACACCAGGCACATGCAGGCATCCTGCTGGCAGGGATGGTTGGTGGTGATGGATGTCTTGGGACTGGGCACGGCCCTGATGGTACCTGGTGATCGCAGCTTGGTCTGGCTGGTGGAGCGGGACAAGGGCAAGCTCTGCCGGAACCGGTTCATCCTGTTGAACCCCAGGGGCAGCTCCGCTTCCGACATGGTTTCCAGGGATTCGGCCGAGGCGAAGGAGAGTTTGGCTTGATCGGCCAAGCCAGGCTGGGAGCCCTGGGAGTGCCGGGAGCTCCTTGTCTGCAAGAGGAGAGGTCAGAGGAGAGCTGGGTACCCCAGCCCATGGCTGAGCTCCCCTGGATGCTCACAGTGATGGAGATGCAGGGATGCTCATTCCTGGCTCTCCAGCTGAGTCAGCACACTGCTGTGGTCCAGCGCAAGGCCCCCTCCATCTCTAAGCATCTACAACATTGCCTCCTGCAATTGCTCACTCCCGTTTTCCTCTCCATGCTATACTTCAAAGCCTCCCAGTGCCATTCCAGGAGCCTTTGAGTTCTCCCACCAGTGGAAATAAAACCAGTGCTAGCTAGCTGGTGACAGAGCCAGGCTCGCATGCGAGCGCTGGAATAACCTTAGCAATTACAGGAGGTTACACATCCATTACACCAACGAACCAGCTCCCGGGAAACATAAATGCCTGGCTTCTTCTGGAAGCAAAGCAGCAGCAAGGTTTATGGCTTCCTGCACGGGGGGAAGGTAATGGATTTGGGGTTTGAGCAGTAAAGATTTAATACGCCACGAGGCCCATTTCACATGGCCAAGGGTACATCCAATCCAACAGCATGGAAAGTCCAGGCTCCGCATGCTGGATTCCTGCACCACCACCTCCAAATACACAGGGAAGGGCCACAGGAGCAAACGTTGCCCATGGATCCCTCCAAAGAAAAGGCTGGATTTTCCCATACACTGTCTTTAATGCTGGGAAATCAAACAGAGGGAGAACAAGCAGCTCCCGGGGTGTGGAAAAGGCAGCGTGGAAGGGACAAGGGCTCTATTTTAAGCCCAAAAAGCAGCAGCACTATGAAATGATAACAGGCATCCTCCTCCTCCTTTAAATTAGACATTAATGGGGGGGTGTTAATTAATCTGGCAGGGAGGGGTTTCCAATGGCTGGAAATGTTCTTGCTCTATGCAGCTAATTGCTGGAAAATCGACGGCTTTAGTTCTGTTGTTGCTCCAGCACAAAGCACGTTGGCAGCGTTGAGGCGTAACAGCTTACACTGAGAAAGGGAAGTGGGGCTGGATCAGCACCATCCGTGGGTGAGGAATGCAGTGAGCAGGAGGTGATGGAGAGACCTGGTCTCCTCTAACACGGGTCTTTGGGGCAAAGCATTTGGATTTTGGGGCTCTCCATCCTTGCACAGCCCTGGGGAACCTGGAGGGTTTGTGGCTCCCTATCTCCATCTGTCCTGGGGTGGGTTTATGGTGCTGCTCCCAGCTCCTGAGCCAGGATGGATTTATGGCTGCAGGGATGGATCAGGAAGTACATGGCCAGGATGTGACCCATGCTCTGCCCTCCTGGCAGCCCTTTTCTCTCTGTTCCTTCCCCTGTTCCATGCCTTCACCCTGCTCCATCTCCATCGATCCCTCCTTGCTCCCACCACCCAAATCCCTCCCAGCCAGAGCCCACACCTCAACCGGGCTTTAAACCTGTTGAACTTTCACACCAGATGACAAAAGTCCTCACAGCCCCTATAAACAACACCCCAACACACCATGGTCTCTACAGTGCAACAACCCAATGCACCATGGTCCCTATAGCACAACATCCCGATGTACCAGGGTGCCTGCAGCCCCTACAGCACAACAACCCAGACACATCATGGTCCATACAGTCCCTATAGTACAACATCCCAATGTACTAGGGTGCCTGCAGCCCCTATAGCACAACAGCCCCGACACATCATGGGCTCTACAGCCCCTATAGCACAACATCCCAATGTACCAGGGTGCCTACAGCCCCTACAGCACAACAACCCAGACACATCATGGTCCCTACAGCCCCTATAGCACAACATCCCAATGTACCAGAGCGCCTACAGCCCCTACAGCACAACAACCCAGACACATCATGGTCCCTACAGCCCCTATAGCACAACATCCCAGTGTACCAGAGTGCCTACAGCCCCTACAGCACAACAACCCAGACACATCATGGTCCCTACATCCCCTATAGCACAACATCCCAATGTACCAGAGCGCCTACAGCCCCTACAGCACAACAACCCAGACACATCATGGTCCCTACAGCCCCTATAGCACAACATCCCAGTGTACCAGAGTGCCTACAGCCCCTACAGCACAACACCCCAACACATCATGGTCCCTACAGCCCCTATAGCACAACACCCCAACACACCATGGTCTCTACAAGGATGCTGGAAAGGGCAGACCCTTTAAGTGCTATGGGGGGGGGTCTCTGCCATTCCTTGCCTGTGGCTCTTTTGGCCCCCCCAGCTTTGCTGTGGGACCTGGGTGCCCCAATGTCCCTGCAGCAGCAGCAGCAGCGGGGAGCTGCGATGCCCTGTCCTTGGCCTCCAGCAGACCATAATGAGCTGACTGCAAGGGAATTGGGTTTTATTGCTCTGCCTCCCTAATGGCTTTTCCTCCTAGGAGGTAATAACCTGGCCACTCAGCCCCACACATCCTGCCTGTGCCCATGCTGTGCCCACAGCCCCATTCACAGCCCTCCTGGATAAGGTGGGACTTGACCATAGCCAGCAAGGCTGTGGCTTATCCCAATGGTGTCAGGATCTTCATCCATCCCCATGGAGTTTAAACAGGGTCCAATCCTGCCTTGCTGGGTCTGGACCTGTCTGTGCCAGTGTGTGCACTGATGGGATGGAAGGCCCCTGCTCTCATGTGCATGGGCTGAGCTTTGAACCGGATGCAGGATGGATTTGCATCAGGGACTGCAGTGATAGGACAAGGGGTGATGGGTCTAGAGGCAGGGACCCCTTCCACTGGAGCAGCTTGCTCCAAGCCCCTGTGCCTTGAGCACTGCCAGGGATGGGGCAGCCACAGCTTCTCTGGGCACCCTGTGCCAGCGCCTCAGCACCCTCACAGGGAAGAGCTTCTGCCTAAGAGCTCACCTCTGGCAGGTTCAAGCCATTCCCCTTGGCCTGACGGCTTAAAGCCATCCCCAGGGATGCCTGCAGTGTGGGAAGCAGCGGGTTCATGGGCAGAGCACAATGGGAAGGAGCAAAGCAGCTGCCCAAAAGCAAGACTAAAACCTCCCAAGGCCAAGGGCAGCTCCTCCCATGGCACCAAGGGCAGGAAAGGCTTTGGGAGGGCAGAGCTGCGGTGATGGGCACCGAGGCCAGGGGGTCTGCAGCCTACCCTGGGGAAGAAACCTGCTTGGGACCTGCCAGGGAGCGGTTTAAAGCCCCTGGTTTAAAGCAAGGGGAACCTCAGCAGCAGCAGAGCTCTGCACACTGGGGATGCTCCATGGGTGCTGCTTTGAGTGGTTCTCCCAGTGCAAACCCACTCACAGAGCACCCACATCCCCCCCTGGACTCCTCCTGGGAAGCAGTGGGAACATCCCCCCCAATGCTGTTGGCAACAGGAGCATCCCCAGCACCCCCACACCTCCTTGGGAGCTTTAAATGAAAGAGATGGGATGGGGAATGGAAGGAGACGTGGGGGCTTTTGTCTTTTATCTCCCCAGAGCTAAAAACAAGCTACAATTAAGCAATCCTTTCAGCTCCTAAAGCTCCCACCAATCCCTTTCCTGTCAGCGCAGAAGCAGCTTCATTCTACCAGCTTGGCTAGATAAGGATGCTCCTCTCCTCCTTCTCTCTCTTCTTCTTGTCCTCATCCCTCCCTCCTTTCCTCCATACCCCTCTTCAATATAACCCTCCCCAGCTTCAAGGGCTGAATGCTCAGAGCTGGAGGAAGGGAAGGACCCAAGTCCTTCCTTGGTGAGGACTGAGGACATCCCTCTGGACCCAGCAGTGATGGGTACCGCAGCGAGCATCAAACTCAAAGCCACTGGAGCTCATTCATCTTCCCCACTCACTTCCTAAGGCAGGCAAAAGGACCCTGGAGCTGGAGGGTTTGTCCCAGTGGATGCAATGGAGCCTCCACCAGCACCTCAGCCTCCGAGGGCTGTGCTTGGCTTAACCTGAGGAGGAAGGAACCGTTTCAGCCCCGCTTCTGCCTGACCCCTCTGCCCATCACACACCGCACTCAGCATCCCCCGGTGCCATGGTAAGGACCTTACCTGCAACAAGGAGATCCCCCTGTGGTACCCAAGCACCCTGCTGAGATGTGCACAGGGGACACAGCTCCTCTGCCCCCAACCTAGCGCCCAGCCCAGCTCATCCCAAGCTCTGCACCCTGTCCTGGCACAGGAACCAGCCCCTCTCCCCCCAGAACCCAGCCCAAGCAGCCCCCAGGCACCGATACCGACCTGTGCTCACAGCCGGGATGGATAAGCCCTCGCCGTGCTAATGCCATAGGCTGTTATATGCCCAGGCTGTGCTGGGCACTGCTGGGACTGGTGGCAGCTCCAGGTCCCTCCCAGCTCATGCTCCATCCTGTCCCGTTGGCAAGGAGGATGGACCAGAGCGCATCCGGGCTGGCTGAGCATCATCTTTGCATGGATGGATGGATGGATGGATGGATGGATGGGTGGATGGAGCCCTGCAAAGGTCCTGCAGCACTGGGTGCTGCTGCCTGTTTGCATGTCCTCTGCCAAGCCACATGATGGGGATAAAGGGAATTGCTCCCTCAAATGCACTCTGGCCAGCTTGGGAAACAGCTGGGAAAGCCAGCCCTGGGCAAAGCAATGCAACCGGTTATTTACCAAGTGCATAAAGCCCCGGCTCCAGCTCCTGGTTGGACACAGATCTGGATTAATTCCTCATAATCCCCCCTCTCACCATTTAATCCAGCATCTGACTACAGATCCCATCTGGTGGCTTGCTGAGCTCTCGGGATGGAGCTCAGCATCCCAATGGTCTGGGCTGTGTTGGGGATAAGGAGATACCATCAGCCTCCAGCAGCAATGCTGGGAGCAGGGAAGGGTGTTTTGGGAGTCACCCCAGGCTTTTGCTGTGGGACCAGGGTGAGCTACTGCACCTTTCTGTTCCATCTCCATAGCATTCCTTGGAGCTGGATTGGGAAGAGCCATGGGAGAGGGTAACAGGACCCTGCATGTAGGGTCCCACGTGATGCTTCTTGGACCTTTGCTCTCCATCACTCTTCTCCATCTCCCTAGCTATAAAATTAATATAATT